ATGACCCCTAGAGTTCAGTTGGAAGAAGATAGTCAATGTAAGTAACATATGTTTTAAAGTACAGTTAAAATTCTTGCAGTTTTGTAAATGTAACTGTAACAAAGCCATTTGAACTAATCAAAGAGCTATTAATTTTATAACTTTTTTTGGGTATTTCTTACTCTCCAGTAAATACAGACAACAGCCAAACCTGGCCGTCATTTTTTGTTTACTTTAACTACCCCTTACTGCCAAATAGACTTTGAGAGTAGGTATAAGTCACTTCACCAAGTGAGAAAACTTAACCATATTAAATTCACTTTAAATGTCATGTGTAGAAAAAAATTAAAATATTCAACAATTAAGAATTTAAGAATGAGCAAACATTTGCTTTCCCATAAACCCATCAAATTTTTAATATGCATTTCTGTGTAGTGGCAAAATAAAATTTCATAGGAATATACCACTTGGTAAATGCACTAGTTGCCCAAATCCATGGTAATACAAAACAATCAAAACTTCAAGAGATTTAGATAATTACAGATTATAGTCAAAGTCACAATATTTACACATTTATATATGAAAGTACACGTTAACAGATAACAGACAAGATACTGCACAGCTTAATTTCCCCAAGGTCACTTTATATCTTGGTGGAATTTGTTCTGTCCTCTCTGCACCCTGGCTTCAAGTTAAAGGACTCCCCTGTGTACTATCACAGGTGAGAGCAGGGGCAGATCCAGAGATATTTTCAGATAGTCTTCCAAATTATCTTTGTTGATCCATCCTCCATTTTCGACCGTCTTCTTAAGCAAAAAATTTACTTGTCAAAGTAAACTTCAAAATCTGACCGTCTTCCAGGAGGCCCAGAAGAGGGCCTCAATCTGCCCCTAGAGAGGACGTGTTTTATATGCTAATTTCCAATACTTTCAAATTCTTCATTGTGTCATGAAATAACCATCTGTTAACATAGCTTAAAACTATATGCCCTCATCTTGGTATAGTATTGTTATCTCACCTTCATCAAAACATACTGTTGATTATTAATGAAAATTAACATAGGCTGTGTTCAGAACAGAAGTTATCATACTAGCAAGTTCAGAATAGAAGTTATCATACTAGCAAGTTCAGAATAGAAGTTATCATACTAGCAAGATCAATCTATCTCAGCGGGGTTCTGGTTTAGGTGCAGTCAATGTAATCAGCTTAATTGTCTGGCACGCCCCCTAATGAAACAACATGAACAACATCATGGATCACAAAGTTTTCCTGACTTTAAGTTACAAGCATGCTTGCAAGTGCGCACCAAATTTGAGTCATGGCTCAGATCACGGCTCAACTTGGTTATGAACAGAGCCATAGTCAATGTGAAAGAAGAAACATATGGTTTTAATTTCCAATTGAATTTAATTGATATTTGACATGTTGCATGCAATTGTTATAGTACAATACCAAACAGAGGGGTAACTTTCCTAAACACTTGTGCTGCAGAAGAGAACAACAATATAGTAGACTGTCAAAATTTCCATTTAATGCCAAGGTCCAGTATTGCCCCACCTCCATTAATCTAATATAGAGAAAGCTATTAATGAATTCACAGCCTTTGAAAGTACAGCTTTATTGGGCTTATAGAATGTTTGCTATACCACAACATTTGTTTAATTTTCAGACCAATGAATCAATATTGGATGAAAAACATACTACTCCTGATTACAAAAACACCTGACTCTGCATGTTTGGTTTAATAATAATTACAATAAAAAATACAAGGCATATATTTAAAGCCTTAAGTGGCTCAGGCAAATGAAAAAAGCCACATGTAGAGACCACTTTATTTTAAATTTACTTGGCCAAAGTAACACTTACCATAGATCTTGATAATAGTTCCACAAACCCATTAAATGCTAAGTAGGTCAACTTGAAAAGGACTTCCCATTGTTTGTCACATTTATCACATAAGTTAATATATGCTCTGGTGTCAAGGAAAATGCATGTTCTGTTGGTGAATGTTTTAGGGAAGACACAGATGTGAGGCTCAAGAAGAAAATGAACTTAACAGGTAGTGGCAACAGCAGCTTCTCCTCAAGCCCACCATCTCTGCCTCCAATTTCTGACAAAGAAAGCCATGGCATGGTGCTCTATGTGGTAGTTTTCCTGTGCACCTACTCACTGGCCATTCTATTCCTCATTGGGTATAACATACGCAAGGACAAACAACACCATGAAGAAGACTATGTTAAAGAATTCCTGGACCTCCAGCAGATAGAATTAAGGAGGAGAAAGTTTCTTAAGGAGCAGTATCAACTCACTTCAGAAGAAATACAAAATAAACTCAAAAAGTTGGACAGTGCAAATGTCCAAGAGAAGAGCTGTCCAGACGTCGAGTACAATAGAAGGCACCAAACTGTTACTTTTCTGATGCCAGAAGAAAGCTCATTCAGTGGGAAAAGTCCTAGAAAGTATAATAAAATGAACCAACTTACAACAAATGATGGAACATCGAAAGAACTAAATGGCAGGCAGTCAGAGACCACAAATAATAACAGTACAGAACAGGATAATATTGATAAACCCATGACTGTATCAGTAGTATGAGAAGTATGTCCACAGTATAGATGTCAGCTTCAACAGGGCACAGATTATACCCAATGACAGCCAGGTATAGGATGCAGCAAACTGGTTTTTCAACCTGTTACACTGACATGCTACATTTACTATGCAATTTTTTCTTTATATTGAGATTATAAGACTGTATTTCATTAACCACATCCTAAATTATAATTTTAGTGCAAAATACACATATACATATATAGAGAGAGAGAAAGGTTAAGATGAAAAGTTAAATGTGTCTAAGTTAATTACATTTTAGTCCATGTGGATGCAACAGTATTTCAACTGTTATGATGATACTATTAATGTATGTAGTTTGAAACAGAGAGAGGCAGTTCTTTGGTGACATATTTTCCTCTCTGTAGAGAATTTTCATATTTTTCTTGTCTTATTAAAAATGATTGGCACAAAAAGCAATAGCATTAAACCTTGGCTTTTCATGAACTAATTGGTAAGAATAGAAATAACTTCCAAACTACATAAATTTCTGACCAAAAATTTAAAGAAAGGAGCAGTCTAGAGCTCTTTTATGGCTGATCAAGTGTTTATTCAGTTTACCTCTTGGCATGTAGACTTAATTAGAGTGATATAAGAAACTAGTAGAAGTGGTTTATATGTGTTACTGGGAATCCATGCTCCACCGATGCTTGGTTCATATGTTGTGGACGAGACCTTTTAAAGAGCACAGTTGGGGCACAGAAGGAAAGTGGCTATATTGAACATTTCATGGGGCTTTTCTAGTTTAACAATTATAAAAATAATACATTCATATGAAGTTACAACGTTGAAAGTCAATGAGTACTGATTTAACAGAACCCATGAAATGTGATTTTTAGTGTGAAACATGAAATTAATGAAATGTCCATTGATCATTAGTTTTATCAACAAGTCCCAGATGATGTTTAGAGATGACAGCTCTTCTGTTGTGGTCACGATAACATTTACAGAAAAAACAATTTTTTTAACTTCAGGAACATTTTTGAAAAAATCATAATCTTACATGTTGTCTTGAAAATGCAAGTAAAAACAATATTGCCACTGAGAAAACCCTCAGTCCATTTTAGCTTCCTCCTCAATGCAAGGAAATCACTGCGCAAATATATTTCAGTGATTATCTATAGATATTTTCTTCAAGCTTAACATTTAAGGTACTTTTTGAAATCAGACAGCTCCCATCCCACTCCATCACCACCTCGGTCACCCCTACTAGTGTAGGCTGTCAATTTGGCAAGGCATACCTTTGCCTTTAAAACAACCAATAACAAGCCAATTTCAGCAAAGTCCCTGTGCATATTCTTGTATAATTTTGATTTAGCACAACATTATCAAAAGTCAGGTACTTTTATCATACAAGACTTCAGATTCATTAGCTTAACATTCATCAGAAACGATAATAATAAATATAATTTTTCTATATAAAAGCCATAGGGTGCTACAGGATGTCCTTCACACAAACATGTACAAGTGCCTTTATAACCTCCCCTAGCCAAGGGTTTTTACACAGCAAAAAAAACAGTCCACAACTTTTTTCAATGGCCTTTTTTTTCTACAACTACATATAGGGAACAGCTTTCAGTGCAACTAGTCTACAAACCTATCAATGGGTTAAACAGTATAACACACACACACACAAACACACACACATTCCTATGCATACACAAGGCTTAAACCATACAACTAAACACGGAGACAGAAGAGAAATCAGAAAACAGTACAATACTTACTGGATTGTAGAGTGCACAGTTCTCCAGTACCTGGTAGATATCAGAGATAAAGTCATACACACAATTGTAATGGTTGAAGTGATTGCGGGACAACTTGGACTTAATGGTGCTGAAATCCATGGGGTGCTTCACTATCTTGTGGTAATTAGGAACCTAGAATAGTTCAGGAATACGATTCAGTGTCTCAGTAGTTACTTTAAAACTGCATTCCTGAATAGGTAAATTCTAACCAAAAGAGGCTCAAACTGAGATTTGGAAATCTTATATCTGTCCACATATCAACATTACCAAAAAACAAGGCAGNTAATGGCCCGATCATGCTGATTTTCGAACTTGACCTGCGTTTTATGAATATTAGTCAGCTCTGTAAATATAAAGCCAAAAAGTAAAACTGTCTTCCACTTATGGTGTTAACGCTGAAAGTGCACGGCGACGGCGACAGCGACGGCGACATGATCGGCGACGGCGACGACAGACGCAGGTGATGGCAATATGTACAGACACATCTGTGTCTGTACATAAAAAGTTATAAACTAACAAGTGGATGAAGAACATCTTCATAGGAGATGCAGACTGAAATGATAATGAAAGGACAAAATGTCTTCACTTACCCTACTACTGAAGGTAAATGGAAGGGAAAATGTTCAAACTTACCCCATGACTAACAGGCACATGGAAGGGAGAGCTGTCTGGATGACAGAACAAATACAGCAAAATCCTCTCACAAATCTAAAGTAACAAAAATAAACTTTATTATATGCATTTACTGAATGAACATATACACCAAGCTAATATTTCAAAATATGGTTTTATATAAATGAACAAAAAGTATACTTAAACCATATAACAAAATGCATTAATGAAAATATATTTGATCTCAACCAGCTACTTGTGGGTACTATAAATACATAATAAAATACCTTCTGCTCATGACCACTTAGCCCTGAGGTAGCTTTTCTCTTCCTTTTGTTGTCTCCAGAATCTGTGGGAGTGCTGCTCCGGCTTCTGTCTGTGGTTTCCCCGGCTATAGGGTCACAGAGGCCGCACACCCAGCTACCACTGAAAGAAATGGTGTTGGGGATCAGAGCTAAGAAAAATGCCTATGGCTACAGTACATAATATTGAATTCTGGGTCAAAAAATTTGTTTAATTTAAACAAGGCCTTGAGCACTGCATGTGTTATATGAGACCAGAAAAAGTGTCAGAATCCATATGAGATGGGGTTGAAACTCTTTATGCCACAAATATCTTCTCAGAAAGCAACACATGAGTGATAACCAAAACATGTGGAATTCATGCTGTTGTGCAACAGATTACTATTCCATAGAACTTAAGCAAAAACAAGCAGAAAAATTTCCTTGGATAAATTCTGTCAGCTTTAATTCGTTGCCACAACATACTAGTCTGCCAATTTTTCTGATACCACCCATTTTTTTCCAAACCCTGTAAAATCTGACTTGATTTTACATTAAGTCCCAAGAAAATGTTATCTCAAATGAATTGCATAAAACTTTGTGTTAGTGGTAGAAAAACTGTTAGAATGAATACATTTATAAAACATATAATGTGCACAAATTACAATTAAAGTACTTACATGTGAACTTTAAGATGCATTATAAACATGCTTTTCATCCAAAAAAGCAAATATATCAAAAATTGTTCAAAAGACCCATGTTGGAATCTTACTTCCTCAACTGAACACTAATACACATCTCAAATACATTTCATGAGAAATTCTTAAGCAAAGGTAAGGTACATCGACTCACGTTGGTGCTGTTCCAAGTTCGGGCACATGGCAGCTGAGATGGAACACTTTAGGACACTGATCACAGCACAGCAGATCCCCACCATTGTGGCAGACAGCACACCAGTCTTCATTGGGGTCTTCATCGGTGAATCCAAGGTCATTAGATTGCTGGGGTGTCTCACGCTGACTGGGGCTCACAGATAAGGGTGGAGTGAGGCTACCTTCTTCACTCTGCTGGAATGGGAACACTGGCTATTCAGATTTTGTCATCATGAAAATTGTACCATCATCATAATGGCTTACTTTCAAAAACGTTCAACATTCCTCTCAAAGAATTTCACCAGTGAGAGTTTCTCCTAAATGCAGACATGACACCACTATAACTTCACATGATCTTTCAATGAAGATTTTTAATCACAAAAGAGGTTTTTTGTCATAACTGGGAAGGCAATGTTACCTGTGTCAGCAAGCCCTTGGTCATCTTAAACCCTCCGCTGCTACCTGGTTGTTCACTGTCAGAATGTCTCATCTCCTCTCTGCCTTCAGAGGGGGGCCTAGAGTGCTGGTCTGTGCCAGATTGCTCTTCTGAGGAGGATTGGTCTTCTCTTAATATCTGCGGCTCAGGAAACTGAAGTGAAAAATTTACTCAGTATTTGGAAGGATTAAATTTGTTGTATTTACTATCTACACGTTATCAGATATATAGCACAGAGTGACACCCCACACCCACCCCCCAAAAATGCTATCACAACTTATATTTGCAAAGTCTGCATCCATCCATAAAATTTGTTCATGTTTTTTCAAATACCTGGAAGCATCAAAACACATTTTTTGTCCAAGGCCATCCACAGACCATACTGACTAACCAAATGGCCATTGCCCAAAAAACTCCTTAAGCTGCTCAACCATCTTTGAAAATATAAGCTGTCTTTTGATGCCATTGGCCATCCAAATGATGATCTGATAACTCGCTGGTGAAAGCCATGTTGTCCTCAGTGGTCAAGAACTGCACACAATGATTTTTGCAAGGAGGCCAAATGAAAGCACTAAGCATATCTACTGTATTAAAAAACGCTTACCATGGAAGGGGATGAGATTGGCTTTGGGTAATCTTGCTTCACATTAAACTGAGAAAAGCTGCAACTGGGAGGTTCTCTTTTAGCCTCTGCCTTGACTTTCATCGACCTTGAATAAAGAACACCATCATATAACATTATATCCACTATGTGTAGTTAGTCGAAACATGTAGTATATTTACTGCCACATGAAGGGCTATGCAGTTTAATTAAACATATGTATACTTTAAGTTAAGACAATCTTCACTGCAAATGATTTTCAAATATCATTAAAATGATAAAAGAATAAAAAGGAAATAAGAGGAATTTCAGAAGGTTAGAAATGATAAATAAACAAAACGAGCAGACTGACATACTTGCAAAGTTTTCTCACAAGTAATAAAGTTCTATGAAACTAAATAATATGCTGCTGCATATACTGGAGGCAGACATTTGCAGTGTGAACTGAATACATGGCTGCCACAGTACTAGTAAAGCAGCCAACATTTGCAATCATTCCAGGTTCCAGAAGGCAGAGAATTCAAGCAGAATAAGCAAAAAGCAAATAACAACAACAAAAATGCAGCTGACCATAGCCAATTAAAATGGGAAGTTCACAACCTGGAGAAAAATATAATCAAACAAATATTGACTTTTTCCATGTCATATACCGTAAGGCTTTATTCAATAGATTTGTGACACATGAATAGATAGATAGATATTTTATTTATTCTGAATTATGAGCGAAGGCATAAGAAATAAAGAATTTTTTTTTCCTTTTTCACAATATCAGCAAGTCAAGCAGTCAAAACAGAATTGGAGAGATAAACACATTCACATATATATATATCGCTAGTATATTTGTTTGCCTAAAAAGCAGTGACTGATCTGATATTTAAGTTAGCAAAATTTTCTCTCAAGCCCACTATGAGCAGACAGTCACTCAGAACATGTTCCACAGTTTGTAGGCTCCTGCATGTGCACCTACAATTCTCATAAGGAACCCTTAACAAGTGACCTTCCCATACATTCCTAGTTCATATGACATGGCAAACACAGTCAATATTTAGAAGTTTATTATTAAATGGTGAAACTGCATAAAAGAACATGTCCATCATACTTACCTAGCATCAGGAGCTTCAGCATTGTTCATGTCATTGGAATTTGTCACAGGGGGTGTAAGGTGACCAGGATTTTGTCCTGAAAATTAGACATGATATAGAGTTTAAAATCTTCAAATTACAAAAACATCTTACAAAACATTAGCAACTTAAAATTGAATAATCCATTATAACTGCTTCCATCAAAATTTTATATTCTGTTTGTAGTTAGATAAACACTAACTGTAACGGTGTGGGTAACAGCTTCAATAGCTTTAAATACTATTTTAGGGGAATGATACGTTTTACATTGGAACATATGTTCCATACAATAATTATAATATTTATTTTATATATTTAATTAAATAATTTTATTATCCCCATTATTATTATTTAGCAGTTTATTATATGTATAAGTTGATACCGAAAAATACCAGCATGCTTAAAGGGATAATAACTCTTCGTATAAGATCTATATTTCACAATAAAAACATTGTGAATAACTCATAGAAATATAATATATCCTGTTTTACCACAAAAACGGCAGTTATAGCTATTATTCTGATATCTGAGCTTGTCTTTAGACCAAGTGATCTCCACTGATGGCTATACTCTTTTACAAAGATCAGTCTCTACTCTACAAAAAACCAAACTTTTTAGAAAAAAAACAGGGACTAACTTTGAATGTAAAAATGGATTCATTACCCATTGGTAAGTACGGGAAAATTGTTGTTTACTCCAGGAAAATTCATTTTTTGGCTGAAACGAAGAGTTATTATCCCTTTAATCAGAGAGCTATATCTATATCTAGCTATTTAAATATGCCAAACCCCTTAAACAATTTCTTCATATGCTTTGTGGTATACAAAAGTCAAGTTTCCTACCAAATATGAAGACATTAACCAGACGTCAGATCAGCTGAAAACACACTATTCAGAGCCCCCTCTTCCTACCTCTCCTCAACACCCCATCACTCTCCAGATCCCCCACTTCCCTTCATCCATCAGATACCACATCCTTTATTCACCAGACCCACTTTATGCCCCTTCCCCAACACACTAGATACCCTAAATATCAGATCTCACTCACCCCCTCTCATCATCCACAAGACCCCTTTATCCCCTTAAGCCTCCAGCTCTTAAATCACTAGACTGCCTGTTCTGCATTTCTCTCACCTGCCAGATCCTCCCTACTTACCATCTTCCTCATCCCACTTGTCAGTTCCAATGACTTATTAAACCTCCCCATGTAGTTTACCACATGGCTACTATATGGTATGGTATACCAGGAGAGTACCACACAGACTATTTGGTACATATAATACTTCTAATATTCTCCTGTGTGTCAAGATGACAAGGAACATACCTGCCCTAGTATTTGACTGTACCAGGCCACTGTCAGTCAAACGACTTTGGGATTGTATTGGACCTGCAACAACAACAACAAAAGACCTGTTAGTTAATCCAATCAGTTCAAATAATCCTACATAACATACGTAACAAAGAGGAGTGTGATTAAACAGCATGAAAAATTAGCAACTATACAACTGAGTTTATCATTCTGTAATTATCTATATGCCCATGTCTGGAAGAGTAGATAAGGGTGCATTCCCATAGATTTTAGATCAATCTATCCCGTGGGGAGTCTCACTAGATTACTGTCAGATAATCCGGCTTTAATGTCCGTCCCGCCTACTACAAGCTGTAAGGGGGTAATTAACTTCCGTGCGCAGTCGGCTGACTGCAATTTAGCGTGAACCCCCAGGGAGTTAGGTCGATCTAGTAAGATCGAGCTAAATCAGTGGAAATGCCCTCTAAAACAAGGTAATATACTACCTCCACCTAGGCACTTGTGCTGACCTGAGGATTGGTAAGGCAGCTGTGTCCTGGCAGATGCTGTCAAATCTACCACAGACTGATGTGGCATGGAAGGGGACATCTGGTTGAGCATCTTTCCACTTGACTGTACCAGAGCATACCCTAAGGATGCGTTGGGAACTCCTGTTTGCTGCTGCTGCTGTTGTTGTTGCTGCTGGAACTTCTGTTGTCGTATATGTTGCAGCTGACTTAATGTAATCCCACCCATGTTGTTCTTAGAGGAGTTTTCTGTCCTGTTTGGTGATATTCCACTTGGTGGATAATATGTAGATGTTGTATGGGCTGTTGCATTGTTATTGCTACTGTTTGAATAGTGAGTCAATCTGTTGGTGTGTTGTTGTTGATGTTGTTGCTGACCAGCTATGGAAGCTATGGCTGACATGGGCACAGAGGATTTGGGGTAGATTGGTCTCTGGTGGTGAGGTGGATATGGCAGTTGTTGTCTTTGAGCTTGTTGCTGCACCTTCTGCATTTGTTGTTGTTGTTGCTGTTGTTGTTGCTGCTGTTGTTTGTGATGCTGCTTCAACTGGAAAAGTTGTATCAGCTGCTTTTTTTGCTCTAAAAGTACAAAATTAAACATTTACTCTTACAACTGATCTATGTACAGTTTCCAGTTTTAATATTACAATAATTGTACATTCATAGCCATGTGAAAATTTTTTTTAATTAAAAAAATATCAAACTGGACTTTATACAAAGTGACACATACACAATGTGTCATTTCAAAAAAAATTTAAACAACCAACATTACCTTCTGTCATGCTGTTAGGGCCATTACTGCCAGCAGAGGGCACTGCATTGCTGGTTGGAGCGGATTGTCTTGAAGATCCAGGAAACTGTGTCCCATCCACTATCAACTTCCCTATCTGACCAATTGCAGCTATAATTCTCTGATCATGCTTAAAATCTATGTTAAAACTGTGTTTTGGGTTTGGAGCCTCACACTTGTAACTGATTAAACTTTTCAGTCTTTCTTCCACAAGTTTTTTTGTAAACAATAAAGCAGTGTTGGTTCCTTCCTGGACAGCTCTCTCTGTAAATGTGGTACAGTAAGCCAAGACCCCAGACAGCCTCTCTATATCCTTACTGATCATGGATAATCTTTTCCTTTTAGCCTGACAGATGGCAGCACAGTTACTCATCAGATGCTCTGACCTGGCTTTTATTGCATCTATAAAACTCCCAACAAAAGCCTGAATATTCTCCTGACATTTGCGTTCAGCACTGTCAATTTCTGCCATTCTTCTATCCACTAGAAGCTTGGCGTTTGCAGTACTTGATGCTTTATCACATATTTTCTGTAGCAGTCCTTGCAAAGATAACTTATGCTGGGCAGAGGATTCATGTACAAACTGATACTTGTGCTCTTTATGTTCAGCCAACTGACAGTCCCGGCAGGTTAACTTGTCACAAGTTTCACAAAACAATTTTAGTGGTTCCTGTTTATGACGAGGACAGTAAATGTACTTTTCATGCCTGTGGGTAGATTGGCCAGTTTGAACATTATCCTTTGGTTCAATGGTGTGATCTTTGGTCACTTTGACCCTCCTGTGTGCCTGCACACACTGGTCACACAGCCATTCTGTGCAATCTAAACAGTAGGATGTGGCAGAGGCCTCCTCTTCACAACCTGTGCACTTATTATCAGCTTCATCCTTCGATCCTGCCTCAGCAATGCTGGCAGAGATCTTTGCAAATATATTATCCAAGGTTTCTGATAGGCTGGCCTCCTGGGAACACTCTGGACACTTAATCTTTTCTGGAGAAACAAAGCAAGATATAACATAATGCAGTGATCCTGTTAAAACAAATTTAACTACCAATTGTTAAACAAATACTGGACAAAGAACATATTGCAACATAGATCAACAAACTTTCCAATTTAAAGAGACCATAAACATGATTTCTTTGTTTAAATCATTTGTATAAATTTCTTTAATATATATATATATATATATATATATATATATATATATATATATATATATATATATATATATATATATATATATATATATATATATATATATAAACAGTGCTTTAAGCACTTATTTACTAATGAAAATAATACCCCTATTCAAATTTTGTCTTTTGAAGCAAATAAAAATGTTACAATGGCAACCAATCACTCAACTCTGACACAGTGAAAAGGAAGTGGTCTTCAAATATTTGTTGAGTATTTCCGGGTTTGGACCAGGAAGATGGGAAGACTGATGGTTGGTAACTAATATTAATCTCACATGACAGGTGACAACTATTATTTTCTACTAGACGCCAGTGAAGATCTTTAAGTGAGACCCTCTCACATTGTTACTTGTATCATCAATTGAATAAATATCAATATGCAGGGTTTCTTCCAAGCATTATGTTGTTTTTAATACTCAAAAACGGGGTTTTTATTAAATCCTTTGATTTTATATAAAGTGTCCAAATAATAAAACAGTAAATCCAATAGTAAAATTATAGTAAATTTCCAAGTAGTTGCAGTCAGTGCAGTGCGAAAAAATCCTGTAACCAGTAATAAGGTGCTTTCAGAATGCATTCACAACAGCTGACTAACTAGTCCAAGGATCATTAAGGGATTAGGAAATCTTGCTTTCATGTAGGGTCAGCCATATTTGATCATACTGTTAGGGTTAGTAAAAAAACTTCAATTTACTTCCTTTCATACATTTTCTAGATAACAGATAAATCTCCAGTGTAACTCTTCAGCATTTATACAAATGTCATTTTACCAATGACGTCATAATTCTGATTTAGCAGTAAAAAAAAGCAAAACTGGTCTCTCAAATTTCTCTTTTACCAAAGCACAAATGAACATCGTGTCAATGCCAATTTAATGAAACGACTGAGTACTTCACAACCGTGCCAGCAGTTCTTCCTAAAAGCCTTAGATTAGATTTTATCATTTATAAGGCTAAGTAAAGCCTTTTGTTCAATGATGCATAGTAATTAGGAGCTCATAACTCCATGACAGAAACTTTTAAACCAAAATGATGGTAAGGGACTGAAGCCCATGTACTTGTCACCAACTATAACAATTTCATGACAACATCTTGCTCAGGGATGGAATAACATCCCAAACCGATTGACACTAAACGCTTTGAGGTGCCCATGGCTTATGCTTTGCAAAGCAAAATGTGAAGGCTGATATTTAAATTTTCGAGGGGATTTTTATTGTTTTTAACCAGGATAAAGTATAAGCATTACTGAATAATTAAATGCAGAAAAAATATCATGTTCGATAGCTGGATGATCATATACCCTTGCAGTACCCTACTTAATAATAATAAAAACACTTGACATGCACAGGTCACTGACACTAGTTTTCCTTTTTGGATATAGACTACATATCATTTTCTTTTAATGCCTCTGTTCAAATATTAATCAAAGTAATCAAGAATGTTAGAAAGTCTTTAAAAATATTTCAGAGTTAGGAACTTCACAGAGTGGTGGCCGGCAAGCGATTATCTATAGAAAGACATTATGAGCAATTGCCAAATGAAGCTTAAATGTAAATTGCACTTTTTTCTTAGCAAAATCTTTTGAGGCACCTGGATTTACTGTTACAAATAACGTGGTTCAACATTCACTTTTCGATTTAGCAGAGTAAATACCTCGCCCCTATTTCAGGTAGACTATCATGTTAATGACGTAAGTTGCCCAAGTTCAATTCCACATTTAGGAAGACTTTTCAATCAAACAAACTATATGAAACGAAGCGAAAATAACCTAAAGTGAACCATACTTACTTTCTACTTCGTTTTTATCAAGACATGGTCTACATAATATATGTAAACACGGGAGAAGTTTGGTTTCGACTGAGACTTTCTTACAAGCTATGCACTTGCTGATATCAAACTCCGATGCATCACTTTCATTTTCATCAGCAGATTTCTCCACAATTCCTTCTTTGTTTGATGCCACTTCACTATTTTCCGCCATATCTAAAGACAAGCGGTATAAAAGGCAATATTATCAAACTCCAACGCCCGCCAAGAGTAAACGCCGTCTATGTGTCAGCCATTTTCATTCCCATCATCCTTTGACTACTTCCCATATACAGCGACGTCACTTTGCCTTGAGCCAATCAGCAAAGTAAGTCCATCCGAAACATGATTATTTGGGCAAGGAGTTATAACTCCTTGATTTGGGTGAAAAAAAGGTTTTTAAACAAAGCCACAACACAACGCATCGTCATCTGATGAAGCCTTCGGCAGTATGAGCTTAATAAAACATGCCCCGTGGATTTTAATTGATGTTTTTGGATGAGTGCCATTTGGCAGTGAGCCAATTCTTTTTTGGCAAATTTTCAATTTGGCTGCACGCCAAACGAGGGGCTTCAATCACAAGTTCACAACCAAACGGATATATATGTAGGTTTAATGCGTTACCTTTTACTTTTTGGTTTAGGGATATTAAGTTAGAATTATATCTCTTCTTCTGTCGAATTAATCTTAGACTTTCCACGATTTTCCTGTCAAATCACACCCGAAATCAAATTTTCCTCGAAAAAAATTTAAGCAAATTTCTCCTGCTCTTGAATCATTGATGTTTTACATTTCTAGGCCTAATCAAATGAATTAGTGCTATATAATTAGTCAGTCACTAATACAGCCTTGTAGGCCTATTTGTGTAGGCCTACATTTCTGAGGAAATGTTGCCACCTCAATTTGAGGGATTTTTTTCTTAGGCCTGAATTTAAACATATGTAGAGGTATAAAAGTAGGCCTAGTCTTGCCGGATAGGCCTATGTAGACAATGAAAATATGGCTTTTTGACATTTTCAAACGTGCTTTGTTTATCTTCAACTATAAAGCTTGAGCAATTCTGAATTACAACAACGATAAAACGCTTGAAATAGGCGAACGCCCCTCGGTTCTTAGGCCTACGTGAACAGTAAGCCTACGGATATTTACATGTCTACAACCAGGGGCGGATTTAGGCCGTCTTCTGGGTCTTCTGGAAGACGGTCAGATTTTCAAGTTTACATTGTCAGCCATCTAATGTTTTCTGTCGGAAGACGGTCAAAAATGGAAGATGGATCAACAAAGATAATTTGGAAGACTGTCAGAAAATATCTCTGGATCCGCCCCTGTACAACTGTCTACAGGGCAACGTATATAGACATAAAAGCCAAAGAAAAACTCTGATCAACAAAAATATTAATTTTTTCAGTTGTCAACAGCAGAGATATTAAACTATATAGGCCTACTTTCCGTTACATGTGGCACTTCTATTTATCTCTGATCTGAAGGCCATTTGTGCTTGCCGTGCTGCATTTTACGCACCCTGAGCTTCAGAGATAACTTGACACTAACCTCTTCACTATAGCTTATCTTCATCGTGTCAAGTTACTTGACACGATGAAGATAGGCTATAGTGAAGAGGTGTTAGTGTCAAGTTATCTCTGAAGCTCAGGGTGCATTTTACGTAGACCTACAGTAAAAAGGCTATACCCTATCAGAGATCGTAAATAGGAGTGCTTACGCATGAAACTTCTTGCTAAAGCCCCCTTTACACTGGACGGCGTCCTTTCTGCGTCCAGCAGTCCGGCCCCATTTGAGAGTTTAAAAATTATAATATTTTACGTGCCGACAACTGGCCGATCATTGAGCATTCATTCTGATACAAAATTAATGCTCGTGCCTCCTTATTAAGACCACAGCGATGCCAAATTTCATGGTCGCAGAGAGGACGCAGAAAGGACGCCGTCCAGTGTAAAGGGGGTATAAGGAACAACCACGCATTACCACAGAATCTCGAAATCCACGTTGTTTATAGCATTCGGATTTTTATCTTCCGACGAAATATCTACAGAAAATAGTCCTTTCTAACATTGGACACCAATTTTCCAGATAACTTTACTACAGAAGCCTCTCAAGTCAAGTATCGTCCAGGGCACGTGTGCATGCCTTTCTTGCCATAGACCTTACACCACCGACCCCAGATACGCCATCGATATCTGCTGAGAAAATATGTAGATCATTCTCATCATAGAATCCCAGTGGATATTTTCGTTACCCGTGAAAGCCACTTTCTATTTCCCGAGAAGCGCGAAATATTCATTTTATTTAGCGTGAATCTTGTATCACCCCAGTCCGTGACTCGTGAATGCGGCTTTTTATTCTCCACCCTTCGTGAAACGTAGGCGCCTATACGTAGTCATTATACCCAATGATTTTTGATTTTCTGGATGTTGGACGCACATTATCAGTGACATATGAATAAAGTTTATTTCCTGTAATTAGTGAATTGATAATTATTCAATGTGTGTCAGGGTGATTGACAACTTCGCTCATCGATTTCAAGCGTGTCGTCAGCGAAATTTCGGTTATTAGAAAACGTGCTGTAAAAATTGCAGCATTTGAGCTAGAGACATTATATCAATGTTTTTAATTGCTATTATAGGGGCCTATCAGTTTCAAGGACATGTAATCTTGTCTCATTTTCTTGCCTCAGTAATAAACAATTATCACAATAATGGGTCCCATGTATATTGAGACACCCTGTATTTGTTGTAAATGAACAAAAAAGTAAAACAAGGAAGTAGATCTACTTGCTTGGTTTTGGTGATCGATGATGATTAGCATAAGCCTCACAATTTAGAGCATGTTTGTTCTACATTTGACTGCACACAAATTGAGTTTTTATCTCATGTGGCAGAAAGTGATTGGGTGTTGTGCCTTTATAAAAATGGATAGGAAAAGTGAAAACTGCTCGACTTCAGCAATTTATTTTTCATCTTCCGAGGAGAGAGGGCTTCGGTTTTATTTAAGCTGTGGGTGGTTCGTTACTTTCAACCTCTTCCAGATGAACAAGACACCATTTTATCGTTAAAGACATTCTTTGAATATACCTAGGCAGATTAGGCTGAAGACAGTCTTTAAAAAGTTGGGTGAATATTCTCAAAAATATATCAATAAAAAAACATGAAGAACAGCCTGAATATATTTCAAACAAACAAGTGAACATGGTTAACGAAACTTACTGTGGTGTTTTTCGGCATCACCACTATTAACATAATATGTCTAAGACCCCATTCCCATAGATTTTAGATTGATCTATCCCTGTGGGGAGTCTCACTAGATTACTGTCAGCTTTGTCGGCTTAAGCGTCTGTCCCGCCTACTAAAAGCTGTAAGGGGGTAATTAACTGTGGTGCATGCTCGGCTGACCGCAATTTAGCGTGAACCCCCAGGGAGTTAGGTCGATCTAAATCTAAATATCTGGATCGATCTAAACCTCTGGGAATGCACCCTTAGACTGCAATGATTGAACGTTCAAACATTATCTCTGACCCGTAATACCTAAGTAAAAGTGATTCAACAGAAAATACTCCATAAAAACTATTTTCCAAGGCTTCGATGCAATTTCGTCAATCTGTGGTTCTAACAAAATGCCCCGGGTATACTGAACAGTGTACACATGAACAGCAACATTTATTTTTAACGAATCCAGTTTTATTTTCAAAAAGCGTTCAAAATTCTTTCAAACTGTATGTCCCTTACTTTAAAATCCTTTCAAAATTGGTTTGTTGCACACTGTGGCAAACTTGAATGTCAATACATTTCATTATTTCATACTTGGACTAATAATAAAAGTTCAAGAAAATTGTAAACAATTTCAGCCTTGAAGGCTCATGCAGTATTTCTTGGATAATTCAAGGAATGGTCTAACAATATAAACAGTATTGACAGAAAAATAATGATTTAATTTTTTCAATCTATACAATGCCAGGTTATTAACTGTTCTTGAGTTTCTTCGGTGGTGCATCCACCCTTTTTTTTTTTTTTTCAACAGATCCTGACCCTATGTTTCCACGTTTAGGTCCATTACTCTCGCATGCTGTAAAAGAAACAAAATGTTCAATTTGTAATCTTCTTAAGTTACTTTTATTTTACAGAACTCTCACTGCATTTTAAACGGTTAATTCCATACAGTTTTTAGTTGTGTCTTTTAGTTCAGGTGTGAAACAATTAAAATAAGCACCAGAATTCCTTTGCATCGTTTTTAACTAAAAGAGCAGAAAAACAAACTACTTGAGAGAAAATACCATTTTGTGATAAAACTTTGAATATAAATGCTGACTAACACCATGTTTTGTCTGGGTTAAAATCATTAATCTAGAGCAAACCTGTTCTATATTCTCATGAACATCAACAGTCTCTTTTGCTGACTGCCCCCAAGGTGCAAGATTTGTCATGAAGTCACCACTGACGATAGCCAATACTCCGAAAGTTTACAAACAGCATGGACAAATTCTGAAATGCCAAAAATATTTATGTTTCATATTGCTACATATTATTATATATCTGGCCTTTGTGGGATTATTACAACTGATGTAACTGGAAGCTTAGTAGCTTTATTTCTGTCTAAGCCTTGAGCCTGTTGACCACCTACTTCAATTGGTTAAGGGCACTGATGGTCACCAGAACAATGTTCTAAAATTCATTCTTTATGTTATAAAAGTGAAAATAGTAAAAAAAAATTAAACATCGTATTGTATCTTCTAGTAGACTGTACCTATTTCCACCTTAGAATGTTCTCTCCAATCCTTCATAAGCAATCCAAATCTTTCTCTATCTTTCAATAAGAGGACAGTCTTGATTCTGTCAAGATAACTCACATCACTGTCTGATAATAATGTCTCATCAATTGACTGAAGAAATTTCGTTACTGGATCTTTAAACTTGCAATAAGTAGTAGTATCACTCTGTATTTGAACTGCAAATAAAAAAAATTATTACTACAATAATAATAATAATATTAGCTAGTAAATACCGTGTTTGAAGCAAACTTAAAAAAACATTAAAATTATTGGTTGATAAATATAGGTGTTTAACAGGATTTACCTTCAGAGGAATACACTTCCCATAAGTTGGACAGAAATTCTTTTAAACTCTCTCGGCAAACCAACATCTTTTCTCTGGATAGAAAGAATTATATAATGCATTACCATTCTCAATCATCACTTTACTCTACCATTATACTCATTGTACTTTATCCTTCTCTTTTTAAAGTCTTTGGTGTAATTATACGTGAGTATTGTACCAATTTCTGACAACAGCCAATGCTATAAAATCTATCTAGATTTATATTTTTAAAATCATATGTTTTAATTACCTACAAATCAATTCCTTCGTAATTCACCTTTGTAATTCTTCACATTTGACTTGATGCCTTTCGGAGTCATAAGTGAAGTCTTTGCTTAATACATCCAGCTCCTTTCCCTTTACTTTTTCTTTCCTTCTTTTTTTCTTTAATTTCCGTTTTTGATTCTTTGTAAGATTGTGAGTGTTTGGAATTCTTGTAGTACTTTTTAAATCATCATCAAGATTAGAATCCTTACAAGCATCAGACTTATTTGAATCCACTTTGTTTCCGCAGTTTGTTTTTGTAGGGCTGGCAGGATCCATTCCTTCAGCAGTGGAGACAACTGGTTGTTCCCTTGCATGAAATGGTTTGCCATGTCTTTTCCTTTTTCTTCTTTTATACTGTGTAGTACCGTCCCCTGACACAAAAGTATTCTAATAAAATTTTAAAACAATAAAGCACATTGATTTCTTTAAATATTCCCAAAAGTTGAAATAGAAATTTGTGAAGAAAAATATATATTGATGTAATCAAGTAACTTAAATTTACACTTAACGGAAACTTGCACGAAGAGCTATATTTTGTTGAATGTCTACATTGTTACCACCGTTTAGATAATAGGTAGATCTAAGTTCACTGAATACCTTCACTGCCACTGGCATTATCTAAAGACTCAGAATCTTGCTGCATCACATGAGTGGCATCTTCATGGTCAAAACCCTCTGGAGGAGGAGTCACTGTGTATATCTTTGACTTCTTGGGTTGCAGAATTTGTATTTGAGTGGGTACATGTATATCTTCATCACTGTCAGACAGGACTGGGTCTGTGCCTCCTCCTTTTGGGTATATTGTCTTCAGGACTTTAGATCTAAATACTGGAATGGCAATGAAACTTGTGTTAATACAGACTTATAAAGAAAGCCAATCTGATCTGACTATAAATGCATTAACTGTAACATAAATATTATAACCCAGAATTCAGTCAGTGCTAGACCCAATGACCCACCCAGCTGTACGTGCTATTCATCCTACTGCTGGTGTGCACAAGTCCTTGATACAATTTTGATCAATTTTGGTTAGTAATCCTAGTTCTTTGCTATACATGTAGAACTCCAAAATATCAGGTCAAGTCACTTTTACATCTAAGGGTAGTAGCAGGAGGTACACACACACACACTCACACATACCTTTTTTACCGATACCTGACTTCGGTATCGGTTAAAGAAAAAGATATGTGTGTGAATCTCCTATAGTATCCCTTTCGGTGGGATTCCGGTTCGAAGTCTAAAACTGTGCTATATATCGGGGTATAATTATTTAGACTAGATTCGGTCGATACACATGTAGACCATATAGGCCTGCAGTGAATCCATAACCTGTCAGACAAAGTACTAGTAGAGGAAGGCCTTCAAATGCTTCAGATTCAAGTGCATGCAACAGAGCATTTTAAATTTGTACTAGGGTGAAGTACGTACTGTTTTACCAACATTTTCTGTTCCCAGCGCTTGGCTATCAAAATTTACCTTCATTCCTTTTTGCGCTGTCGTCTTCAGATCCCATTGTCGTTGTTCCCTTGTCTACTATTATTTAAAATCAAATGAAGTTAAGTACAAGGACAAAATATCTCCCATGCAGAACTCGGTTTTAAGAACTACCCCTGTACCCACTGCTTTCTGGTGCCTAATTTTAACATTACTGCGTGATTTTCCCCTAGAGGGCACTGGGGTCATTTGAAGGCCAGTGAGAGAGCTCACTGAGAGGCGCGCGGTTTATTTCAACAGACCGACCAGATGCTTTTAAAACACTAAACGTTGAATGTGTGCAATGGTGCGTGGAATAATACCCATGAAGGTGTAATATGAAGAAGTTATATCAGCTTATTTCAACCAAGCATCTTACGTTTTATTCCTAACGCGGTGACCACATCCAGTGAGTTACTCACTGAGTAGGCCTATATTTCAGAAGCCGCACAAATAAGAGCATTAATTTCATGCTAGGATTCAAGACTGCTGCTGTGTTCATTCAGCAAAATTTATATCCCATAAAAGAGGAACGGCAGCAATAGTAATATTTATCATTTCGCCAAAAGGTCATATAATCGCGATTACTCACTGGACACCCAAACCCAATATAGAGGTGCATTTCACATGTTGAAGTGTCAAATAATAAAATTGAATGAATTCAAAGTTGTAGTCAATTTTTTAAAACATATAGGCCCTATGTGTATAGAACAAAATCCATGACTGTCTCAATTTAAATTCAAATTTTAATTTTTACCATGTCTTTTACATTACGCAAAGAGCCCTAAATATTAACGTATGTTCCAAAAACGTAGGCCTACAGTAACGTACGTAGATCTAGATGTTAAGATACTTCCGATATATTTTGTAGTAAATTAGACGTGACGTCAGGACGTTTTATAAATATTAAAACTATAACTCAAAGGTCTTTGCGTCATGGCTAATACTTTTCTCTACTTCTATGGTATTTTCTAGGTTCCCTAGAAAAATTGGTACAATGTTTCATTTTGTTTAAGTACTTGGTGAAAACAATGCTTTCTTTTGCTGACCGAAAAATATATTGTGATTCCGTGATAGTTTGACATCTCTTATATAGTATTTGAAACACGAGGGGGAATATTATTTATTTAATGCTTATTTTACTGTCGGTAGGGTGTATTTTTTTAAATATTCAGTGACGAGCAAACTAAAGTAGCTCAAAGATAATTAATTGCTCTATACAGAAGATTAGTATAATTTTTTACAAGGTTATAGGCCCTACTTGTAGGAAATAAATCAAAGAACAAAATCCAGAGACAATTGAATTTTCAAAGTGAGTAAAACGTTTCATAGTTGAACGTTTTGCATATGTTCCTTTTTGGGGATAAAAGTTGAATTATTATTTTTTTTTTATTAATCATGGTTCCAGGATAGTAGGCCTAAAACTTTGATATAAACTTCTTCACGTGGGACCCAAAATAATGAGGCATAGTTTGCAATCTGTGTACTAAATATTTTAATGAGCATGCCTGTGACATCAACTGCACCTCTATATTGGGTTTTGGTGTGTAAAGTGTAGACCTACTCGCAAGTTCTGTCCTCTGAAGGATGTTGATAAAAAGGGCGAGTTTCCCGTGTCCTCTGAAACTCCGTGCGCCCTAAACTGAAAGAGTAAATATTCAAAACCTTTGAAGACCAATTCCAACAGGGACTGCAGATATAGTGTCTTTACTTGCTGTTTAAGAGATTGAAAGAAAAAATGTTATCAAATATATCTACGTTTTATTATGAACGATTTTCATGATGGTTATTGCAGTAAGTCAAAAGACGCGAAAAGTGGCAACTAAGAAACTTTCAAAACACAGAACACCCCTGGGCCTATACAACCAACAATTTTGGCAATGTTAGACTTGACACGAAGAAAAAATTAACATTTGATGACGTAACTAATTTTAAATGTATAGCAAATAAAAAATATTTAAAACATTTCTTTAATAAGCAAAACGGAATTTACCTGTCTCTTATATATCATTTAATTTTTTTTCTGTGAGGGCTTAACTCTTTTATACATACTATCTACAAACAATAAATATCTATCTACAATGCCCTTATGTACATATTGAAACTGTCCGTGCAAAACAATATAATGTACAATTTGTCTTTGAATGTACAGTAATTTTTTATATACAGATATAAACACCAAATATGATAGGTCCTACATGTTGATGAAAACATTCCTATACTTCCACGAAATGAACTATATACATATTAGAAAGTCTAAATGCTATGCAGACACCGCAAGAAGTTAAGCAGTCTTGCCGAAGGTATCAAATCGTCAATGACTATTTTCCTTGATGGTGACGAATCTGATTCCATTGAAATGTTTATATTACAGCGCTCCATAGGACTTACTTACACTATACATTTGAAACAAATGAAACCCAATGAACTTAGAAAATATATCAACATATGTACAGGTACTTCAAACTCATTGAAGTCTGCATGCTAGATATTTGCCACTTTTACAAAATCGTGTATACATATTTACAAGAGAATATTAACACATATACAGTTCAAATTAAATCTATACAAATTATGAAAATTTACAAATAAATACATATAAATGTATACATTCATTGTTCTAGTCGATATCATTTTGAGGAAATATAGGAAGAAAAATATTAACACATTTCACATATACAATTCACAAAACACCAAATGCAATTACACAAGTTCTTTTATATATCTGTATGGCCACATCAAATCAAAAATTAAAAAAGGCATAATGCTTATGTAATAATTTATAAGCATATACACTCGATTGTCTCGCCTCTTAGCGATCTGAAAGCGTGTCTTTTTCGTTTTTAATATCATTATGCAAATTCCCGCCAAATCTCCAGTACTTCCTTAATTTCTGAGGCCGAAGGCCTAATCGCTCTATCCGCGTCCCAACATTGTACAAACAGATCTTGGTAACACAAGTCAAACGGGCAGTCATCCTTGGTTGGTAGTTTTGGCCTGAGGTTGTATGCCACGACGCCAAATATTACAACATGCTGATTCTGCTTATAGTATGGCGATTCTCTAGACAGCATCTGCCAAAGGGTGATCCCAAGAGAATAGACATCTGCTTTGGCAGTCGGGGCTTCCCCTTTAAGTAACTCTGGTGCTCTGTAGGCAAATGTTCCCGTCAGGTATGAACGCTGTGTCGGACTGACCTGACCCGTACCCTCCACAAGATGCTGGCAGCAACCAAAGTCACCCACCTTACATGTGTCGTCGCCATTTATGATGATATTGGCTGGCTTTATGTCCAAATGAACAATTCCGATTCCATGCGCAAAGTCTAGTGCTGATACAATGTCTAAGGCATATTTGAGACGCCTGAGAGGATCCAAAAGTTCACGTTCACAGTCTATTATGTGCTGCAGGTTCCTGTCTCCAGCATACTCCATGAGTAAGAACCCGATGTCCGAGACCTCACCCGATTCATATTCATTGTATCCGTAAGCAAAAGTTTTCACGACATTTGGATGGCTCAGGCGAAGCACCCGGAGTTCTGCTTTGAAACTTTCCTTCTGTGCTTTTGGGTTCTTGGTATACGTGTGCAACTTCTTGACAGCTACGTTTTGTCCTTTGTAAGTTCCCTTAAAAACGGAACCAAACCCACCGCTGCCTAGAACCAAAACAAATACTTTTTGTACTGCTAACTGATATTTAAAGATAAAAAGGCGTCCATATTACAATTATTAATCGATTTTCAGATCGATTCTTTCTTTGTGAAACGAGACAAAGTTCAGCACTTATTACGTTGTGAAATCTTTTATTATTATTATTATTATTATTATTATTATTATTATTTGTATCATTACATTACTGAGAGACGGATCTGATGTGCTTTATGTATGTATATATACAGTGCAATCATACTGCGTTTGATTTTAAAATGATAATAATTTTAAAGAGATCCTCTACAATCGTGAAAAAAGAGGCAAATTACACATCAAGATTACGAAATTGCATTGCAAATTACTGTAATGTAATGTTCTTACCTACAAGTGACACCAATTTTATATCTTTCAACTGTATTTTAGCGCCGAGAACTCTCCTGGGACTTGCTCTTGCCAAGGGAGAATTGACGACTCGACATCCCGGCATTTTGATAATTTTTATCTGCCGCGCAATTCAACCACGTACGTTCGCTCTCAGTTCCAACTTATAACAGGCCGAATATTTGGGCCCAGCAGAGGACGGGTCTTCAGCCCAGCGCATTTGAGAACTGTTCACCTTACCTCACCTTGATTCGGCGTATCATAATTCTTTACCAGTTGCGCATTGATACTTCTTTTCGCCCAATACGCACCCCACGTGCATCTAAATCGCATTCTAACATTCGCACAGTACGATCCAATACGCCCGATATTTTTGGGCATGCACAAAATACGCTGCGTTGATCTACGCCGTTACGCTGGTCATAAGTTATAATATGCAGTGCATAGGTCCCGCATTGGGCAAGCTCGGAGCGAGTCGACATGTGTTCGTGGATAATAAGCAGTTGACACACGCTTATACTCTCATCTCCCGGCACCCGCACATAAGTATACAAAGCGTGATTGCAGCGCAGTAGCTACGCGCGTTAAACGATTAGTCGATCTACCCTCGGAATACTCTGGAGTACGCTGCGCTGAATTCGTTATTTATACGTTAGAAGTGCTTCTACCATAAGTCAAATTAATCGAAAGACTTTGCAATTTTTAGCGTACGGCTGCGTGTTAACCATGAAAAAATTATAAGGACCTGAAGTACGCAAAGGTGTGTTCACGACTTTTTTAGAAGCTCGGGCTTAGAAGCTCGGGCTAATTTCATTTTTCATTTTGAACTAGATGTGATAATTTTTCTAAGGCGAATACGGGAAAAAAAGCTGTGATGATTTTGAAACCAAGGACTTTGGTTTTCATTCCTCGACAAGTTGCAAGTATCGCATTAGCCAAAGGTAAGCGACAGAATAAAAGTGTACGATGAAAGCAACTTTACGATTTATATGATCCTAACTTTTTATTTTGTTTTGCAAGTTTTTCGTTTCTACCACGCACAGTCTAAGACCAGAAAAATCCACTTTGACATATGATCACCTCTTTGACTTACTGTTTTCCACATATTCAGGATATCATGACATGATTATTCACCTGAATGGCAGAAAAAAACAGTCATTTTGTCTTCATTTCTTTTCTACTAAAACACACAATTATTCAGAACATTTGTAACACCCAAAATGATCTTGAAACATTCTGTTCGAGATTTCTACCTATAAAGCCTCGTTTGAATGAATACCCTACAAAATAAGAGAAAAAAATATTTTTTGGTAAATCAATATCGTTTTGAAATATAGCCTGCTTGTGCTTGGAATGAGAGAACTTCATATATTTTTACATTTACAGCAAATTATTTTACAATTCAGCGCTCGTGTGCTGTTTGCAGCATAGTAATAAAATGCAGTTTTTTAAACCATATTTACCCTTGAAACACTAATATTTCACTTGAATAAAGTTCAAAATATATACCCTGCACCTCTTCTTTGAACAGAACACACAGAAAGTAACCTACTTGTCTTCACCAAATGGCTGGAAATAACAATCCACACAACATACATATACCTGAATTCTAAATTATGTTATAATAATCTTTTGTCAAAATAAATCACAGTTTTGCAAATGAAAGTCACAAATTTGAATAATTCAATAGTACACTATTCCTAGAGTCAATGTACTGAATATTCTTTTATCAACATGCTGTTAACATTTACAAACACCACACAATACAATTACATGCCTGCATAACAACAGAAATTTATCTTTTCTATTCTCTATACTATAAAAATAATATTAAAATTTGCATTCATGATGTACAATTCTAAAACCATTGTAGTTATGCAAATATTACCACCTAATGCAGTGCATTGCTTTCATAATGTCTACTGAAAGACATCCTACATTTAATATAACAGCAAGACAAACTGCTAACTTGCTGCAGCTGTGAACATGCAAGTCTAAATGTTAACATATCTCTTTCATCAAAAGGCAAACTTGTAACTCATAAAACTAAAGATCTCCAACAGTCTGACGTAACATATATCCCAAGTAGTCTAAACTTATCATGCATCACTTGGACGAAGTTTGAACAAAGTTTCGATGACGCTTTCATCTGCGAGGGTAGTGACATCACCCACATCTCTATCGCCACGTGCAATCTTGCGAAGAACTCGGCGCATGATTTTCCCTGACCTTGTCTTTGGCAGTCCTGGGGCATTCTGCAGGAAATCTGGCTGTGCAAAAGGTCCAATTTTACTGCGAACTGAAACAGAAAAAACTGCATCTTCTATTCACTATTCCTGATATTTTATCCAGATTATTTTTTTTCAGTTATTTCACTTACTAGTATTAGCTGTTAAATCTGTGAGCAGTGAAAACCAAAAAATTTACAAATATACAAACCGTTGACTGTCATAAAGCTAGAGATTTTCATCCCAAGATGAAGAAGCCTTGGTGTCTGTAACACTTACCCTTCTTTTTAAGCTCATGTGCCAGGTCCTCAGAATATTGGTTGCCCTGAAAATAGATAAGTAGATGTGAGGAATGGCATAATAGTCTGTAGGTCAACTACACCTTGGGTACAAGCCCAACTGTCAATCAAGAGCAGACAGATAACTCAGATGCATCCTTTAACAAGAGGAACTGCCAGATAATCAAGACACCAACAGACTGAGATATGTCTTTGTTATTGCAAACTTTAAAAAAGCAAGTTCTATCAAATGAGAAAGGTACTGACAAGAGCTATCTGCCACCCTGTAGGCCACACTAAAGGCGCATGTCAACTTTCAAGCATTTGTCTGGAATCAAGTCAATGCAGCATATACAAAATTGACCAATCCTATCATGGTCATCACTGCGTTCAACGAGTAAAAAAAATTGAAGCACCAATGGACAAAGGATGAAATGCATTAAGAGGAACTGGAAAATTTGGTTCTAAGGCAAGAGGAGGGATATGTGGATAGGTGCTTGTTAGTATGCCATATTGTGACAAAGTAAATTTTTTTTTTAATTCCTAGTGTTCAAATCTGCCTTGGCAAAGAATCTGACACTCACACTTATCACCAGTTTAATATAAGGGTATCAGTGATAAAGACCCAATGAGTGCTTATTATGTATACATCATTTTATGTACATACATTTTAACATGTATACATGTTAACATTCATAATCACCATTTCAAGGTATAATTCTTAAAAAAACGTTCTTCTATATCACAAAAATTCACTATACAGGTGTTTATAATCAAGGCCTGAAATGCTGAGAAGTTTGTAAAATGAACATAGCATGCTCAACTACAAAGTTGTTGTTACGCAAGGAGGTAATTTCAGTGCTATGCAATAATCACACATTGCCATACCTCTTTCAAAGTGACAAAACAATATGTGCACTCTCCCTTGACTTGGTGTGGATGTGACACAACAGCTGCCTCTGCCACAGCCTTGTGCTCTATCAATGCAGACTCTATCTCAGCAGTACTGAGCAAGTGACCAGATACATTCACCATATCATCAATACGACCAGTTATCCAAAGATAGCCATCTTTATCTCTTTTGGCTCCTGAAAACCAAGGTCATGTAACAAAGTGAGCAAAGTAGAATGAACTACAATTAACTAAAAGGTTAAACACTGAACCATATCAAGTAAAAAATCCAGTATTTTGTACTTCAATCGTAAAATTAAAAAGCATTTAAATTTCTTACCAATAAACACATTAACCAAAAGCTATAACTTAAGTGACCTACCAATGCACATTCTTACATATCTTTTTGTGAATTTTAGAAACTACACTGAGAGAATTGACCTTACCATCACCAGTTACATAATATCCTGGGAACTTTTTGAAGTAAGTAGTTTCAAATCGCTCTGTGTTTCCATACACAGTTCTCATTATGCCAGGCCAGGGCTGCTTGAAAACCTGAATTTTGAAAATCAGTCCAGTATATTGAAACAATAACATGATACCACCAAAAGCTATAATAACAAAAACTTAAATTTCACAAAATAAATTTTGACTTAAACAGTACAAAATAAATTCATCATTCAAAAGATGGTAATTGAAAAGAAAAAACATCAACTTTGCAAATATGAACTTTCAGGCAATGTGTACAAAAACTGCAACAATATCATGTATAAGAATTAATCAGATATACTTTTCCCTTAATGATACCACCCCCCCCCCCCACACACACACACACACACACACAACCCCCAAATATCTCTTCTCTTCCCTCAATGACTTCCTTTTCTTACCAAATATCCCTCTCCTTCTCCCTCAATAACGGCCCCCTCTTCAGTAAGCAGCTCAGGTACAACTCCAAAGAATGGGAATGTCTGTAACATAGTTCAACAATAACCCATTCAAATTTACGACATAACTACACCAAGACAATTCAGAGAGGTAAAGCCTTGAAAAGTATACATATTGGGATAGTAATCTGTACACTTTGTTTTTGAAAAGAAAGTACTAAATGATAATCAAAATTCTAAGCAACATCTCTAGATGTGTTACAAATAATCAGATATATATAATCAGGATAATAAGTCTGAGGAATTCTTACAGCAGATCCAGGTTTGCATGGTGTACATCCTGGCAATGGTGTGACCACATGACCTCCCTGAAATTATGCCACATCAAGATATCAATCAATATCAATAAGAGTTCAAATAAAAGGAATAACACATGGCAAGGAAATGTCCAAGACTAAACTTAAAAATATACAAGATGCTGGACTGAATTGCACGCATGTCATTGAAAATACCACTATGAGTGGAAACTAAAGAAAATATGCTAAATATTTCATCACTAGTTTCCCAAAAGTTATACTGATACTGAAAGAAGAATTTCTTCTAGAAGTTGAGATACCATTTGCAAGAAAGCTAATGGCGAAAATAAAAAAATGCAGTTTAATATTACCGTTTCAGTCTGCCAGAAGGTGTCTACAATGGCGCACTTTCCTTCCCCTACAGTATGGTAGTACCATAACCAGGCCTCCGGGTTGATAGGCTCCCCAACTGTGCCCAGGACCTTAAGGGAAGACCTGCTGTATCTGGAAACATATAGAGTAGAAATATGCTTATATCCACGTGCTGGAGAACTTGGGTCTCAAATAAATATTGTAAAGATTACACAACAATTGAACATAATCTAAAGATAGCCTTTTAGGAAGTGTGCCATCTACTTAAATAAAATAGAAGGTAAAAGAAAGTTTCACTCAGTCCTACTTTTTAACATGAGCATCTCCATATCTCATGAGAGCCCTAATGGCAGTGGGTGCAGTGTAAAACTTATTGACCTTGTACTTGTCTACTATGGCCCAGAAACGACCAGGATCTGGATAAGTGGGGATGCCTTCAAACTGAGGAGGAAAATGTACTATGATTATTCACATGGCTACAGACTTTATGTACCCCAGTCACTGAATTATCATTATTTAAAAGTAATAAGAACCAAAAGTATCAACCAACTATCAAAACATTGGTTAATTACAGTTTTATGCTAGTTGGTGAAAATACATGAATATTAAGCCAAAATTTTGGTCATACCTTTTTCAAACAAAACATTTTAGCTTGACACCACCTAACTTTGACATTTCATTGTACCCTGAATGAAAACAATACAGTATTGATATATCAATACCTCTGTATATTTCTTTCACTCGTAGTTTAATTTCAAATTAATAAAACTATGCTATTCTCCATCTTCCTTACAATAATCCCTGTGGCTCCCACTCCCAGTGGTCCATATGTGATATATGTATGTCCCGTTATCCAGCCGACATCAGCAGTGCACCAGTAGACCTCTCCTGGTTTGTAGTCAAACACATTCTTGAAGGTTGTGGCTGAGTACAACATGTACCCTCCTATTGTATGCAGAACACCTTTTGGTTTTCCTGTGGAGCCACTAGAATGTGAATGTTGATATGCATAATAAAGAGATAATATATGGCCTCTTTATAACCGGCATACCAAAAATTGGGCATCATCTTTTGACTTGTGAATTAGCTGTCGGTTTTACATGAAAATAACAATATAAATGTAACATCTTGACTGCTACATGTAATTCTAATGCTCGTTTCCTTGTAAAAGTCATCTCAATTTTCCTTTTTATAAATCATACTATTCTTATATTCTAATGCCAAGAAGTGCAGAGAGCTAGCCAATGTGGTAATGTGGAACACTCAGAGGTCCATAAACTATTATCATTCTAATATAATGAATGGATATTCAGAATACATCCATTCACTCAGAGTATTATTATTACCTTGTATATAACATAAACAGAGGGTCTTCAGCATCCATCCATTCAGGTTCACACTGGTCACTAACATTGGCCATCACCTGATGCCACCACACATCTCGCCCCTTTGTCCACCCAATCTGAGCAGTGCAGAAGGAAAAAATTACTTTCTATTGTGTTCTTAGACTGACATTCAATAATTTAACCCATAAAAATCTTGTAAGATAGATAAATTTAAAACATGTTGGCAATTTCATTTTGTCTGTACAAGTAATAACAGCAATTTGCAAAGTAAAAAAAACAAAACTTTTATAATGTTTTTGAATGTGAGGTTTAGTGCTACCGAGTACACTAAAAATTTATAAGCAGGTTACAAACTAGCTTCATATAACATACACCGACTGAAATATTTCAGCTTCCAGACAATAATAATTCAGAAAGAAATTTAACCATTTTGAAAAAAATTAGAAAGCATTGCAAAGACAACAGATTTCAATATTATATACTTTGTCAAAAGATAATAAAAGCAATCTGAAGCAAATGATAGTAATAAAAACAATAACAATGCCTTTTTATACCATATATTAACCTTTATCCCATGGCTGGCACATTGAACAACAGGATACTTGCACTTGTATTTCGCTTACAAGTTTATCTGTATTTTCATAAGTTTCAGTGCATTCATCCTTTTGTTTGAAGCACCAGCCGTGGACAAGTCAGTTACAACTACTCATCATCCACTGAATACATCATACAATAGCAAATTATATCTCTACTGTGCCTCAATACAATTATGTTCTTGTACGTCACATACAATGGACAGCTCTTGTTTCAACTAGTACTAAAAAGCACGAGACATTCAAAAATTGACCATATATTAATGGCTGTAAGACGAAACAAATGGACAGGTCTTTCATTCTATTCTGATGTGTATGTGTGATATTATGCAGTGTGTGTTTGGCTGAACATATGTGCAGACAGAAAACAAACATTTTCTTTTTCTTTTTTACTCCTGAAATAATTAATTGCCAATAATATGATGTTACACGAAAAACTTTCATTTATCAAAAATTTTAATTAAAAAGACATATTTCTATAAACCACATGCATTTTTATCCTCCATGAGGAATATCACAGTGCAAAATTTAAATTTTAAAAATTAATTATCAACATGCATACACAAATAAACAAAATGCTGAACAAATGAGTACAATGCTGTTCAATTAACTGACATAAAACTTTACCAGCTTCCAGGTGCACAGAAAAGGAAATACCAGATGAAAAGAGAAAGTGCATAAAAATCCCACTTAGCAAGAGTGAATGAAAATAAATTTTGGACAGAAAATTTTCAATAATCATTTGTAAGTTAGTGAAAACAAGCACCTAAGTGCTCAGTGTTACATTAATAGAACTTCAAAGTGTGTGAGCATGCTTTATCACTCAAGTAAAATGCTACTAATAATAGGTAAAAAATGCAAATGTGCTTTGATAAAAATCTGGGTTAATTGAAAGAAAACTCGTTCAAACAAAACAATTCTGGTTCAAACCATTATTTAAGTAGGTTGGAACACCCAGAATTCTTGACACATACCACCTAAAAGACCAGATTTAAACAATTTTCATCCAATAAAGTCCCATCAGGATATAAAGGATAAAATAGAGGAGAAACACAAAGTAATGATGACATGCATGAAAAAAAATAGGAAAGTCATCAAAGATAACAGCATTGCAGCGTCTACCTTTCAACATTGCTTACCAAGTGGTAAGCACAGATATCGTTTATAATTGTTACAATTTTCTAATGCAGACTGTGTGGCCATTTGAAAGTAAACGTACCTTGGTCATGCAAATTGATATTTTTTCTCACTATTATCGGAACTTTGGGATTTTTCTTAATAGAGTATCAATTTTTACATCATCATCAATTATTCAACACGTTAAAATTAAAAAACAGAAAAAGAGTCCACCTACCGATATTTTACAAGGTCTCTTGGCAGGTGGCTGAGAATCATCGTCTGACTCTGAAGGGATGTCAAGGTCACCTGCTCCAGCATCTTCCCTCACACTCTCCTCGCTGGGACTCAAGTGACGAACCACTATACAATGCTCAATAGAATGACCCCTGAAGATGAATAGATAAAAATTGTAAAATTTAGTATACACAATTTGCCTTTTCTTAGTATAATATCAGAGCTGAGGCTCAGGACCAATCTAATTAAAACATTTTATCCCATTCCAATACAAATCTATATACAAAAATCAGTTTTAATCAGTAACATATAATATCCACTATGGTATTTAAAATAATTTGGGGGAAAAAATAATATTCAACCCTTGTTAAAATCATTACCTGCTTTAAAGTAAACATATATTATATTAAATCCATAATATTATATATCACTTTGACATTAATTCACAATAACCAGCCTACTGGCCCATACAAACAAATCAACATCATGTCTACGTTAAAAGATTACCTTGTTTGAATTTTAAATGCATGGGGCTAGATCTCTACATGCAAGCACTAAATATATACTACCGTCTATCTGATCATTCCTTGCAATCATTAAACATTATATAAACAGAATAACACTGATAAAATTATATGATACATGTATACAAATGTGTTCCTCAATGCTTTGCCTATTCACTTATCAAACACACCAGACTAGTGATACAGAAAAGCTATGATATAAGCCAGTTGGAATGAGATATATTGACATACATTGGGAGAGGGATAGGGTCATGTGTGGAGGTACATATATGCCATTCGACTGAAAAAAGTGAGCTTAATGAACTGAAATACACTACACACTATGCAATGAAATCTTTTTAAAAATTTACCAGCTGTAAAGATTGCGAAAAGAATGTAATGTAAAAAGATATGAATGATTTATTTGTAATAGACAGGTGCATTGTACTTTAAACAACAACAAAAAAAAACAGTATTCAACTAACATATTATTACTGTTAACTATTCTATTATAATGCTGTTTAAATTAGTCTGCAAATTAAAGCTAATGACAGTTAAATTTCTCTTTATTCTTTTTTTTTCATAATTTTTTTCAATCAGATCGTCCTTGTATAAAATATGTTTAACTGATATGACATGATCAAAGGATCCTTGGCTATGACAATAAAACACCAGACTAACCAGACTGCAGCCCAGTTGTTTACCTTTCTGTGCAGTATTGCATTGCCCCATTAGAGATTTCTTTCAGATTGAGGAGTTTACTGCCTCTCCAGACACCATCTAAAAATGAAATTTAAAAAAAGTATCTTAGTCCTTTCCATGAATTGATCAAATGTCAGCCAGGAGAAATGAGGGGAGATATCATCAGCTGGATTCCTGGAGTGTTAGACACTTTCTCAGCTGTCATCATCCATCGTCTCAATATTTCTTAATTACAAATCAATGAACTGCTAAAATTACCTGAAACCAACCACACTTCTGAAACCAAATGAGTGTTCAGAATCCAATTCTGATCAAATTCGAGAAAGTAAAAATACAATATAAATATTTTCCAAGGAAAGTAAACGTGACTTTTTGTCTCAGTAAAAATACTTTATCTTTTCTGTCTTTATACATTTAATTTTTGAAAAATATATAGAAGCCACTTCCCCAAGTTAGTTCTTGTAAAACTTTATTTACCTGCAGTAATCAACACAGTGCATTTTGCATCCAGTATTCTTTCTGCTAGAGAAGCAGAAGAAAATCCACCAAACTGAAAAAGAACAAAACAAGAATATAAATCTCAAATAAAAAAAAAAATATTTTTTCAAACAAAACAGCAGTTAGTCAATTTTGTTTTAAATATAAATGGAATAAAATCTAATGTTGCATACAAAATCATAGATAAATTGTGCCATTAAAAAATTCTGAACTTACAGTGCTTGTATTGATTTCAAACAAATTAGTTATCTAAAAAGGACTATCAAACATTCACTAGAAAGTATAGGATTTCACTATGGAGTAGAGGGGAGACATATTTCACACTTGTTTCACTCTGCATCTATGAATGAAAGCACAGTATTCAGGTGAGTTCAAGGACAGATAACCAACCTGCATACATATATCACATCTGGAATGTGAACTATGCAAAGTGGTATACTAATGTACATATCACATGGCAAAAAAAGACAAGAACTGCATGTTTAAGTCTCTTTTTCATATACAAGTAAAATTTCAAATCTCTTCATTTGTGCAGATGGACTAAATACACATATACCAGTACACATACAATTACATCAAGCAACTACACTCACCACTATAGAATGGATTGCACCTATCCTGGCACATGCCAACATTGCAGTACATAATTCCACTATCATAGGCATATAAATGGCCACTCGGTCGCCCTTCTGTACACCTGAAAACAAATTTGTATCAGATATTGCTGCTAATTAACTTAAAATTCATTCATGCTTTTTTATCAAACAATACCAAGCAATTCCAATAATCTTCACTTTCCTTAGAAAAATTACATAATGTCATTCATTAAATAATGCATCTAAATACTTATTTTCCATTTATTACTACTAATAGTTATAATATCACAGAAATATAATATAATAAATTAAGCCCCCGGTACATTTATCAATAAAAAAATGTCAAATGTGCATCTTTGGTTTACAGAAAAAAAAATAGAATGACCAACTAGAAGTTATTATAATCAATATCTGTAACATTTTATTGTGTTTACATGACTTAAAATAAAATTCATGTTGACTTTGTTATCAGAATAAAATCAATTCTGCTCTGAAAATAACCATCAAACTGATATTCCCAAAGTGGACCTTTTCTCTGAAGAAAGTAAAATCAATCGATGAGAACAGAAGAGCACCACATCTTTAATACTTTAGAAATTACAATAAATCAAAATATATCTTGATTGTAAAGACCCCACTGGGACCCTAAACTAGATTATTTTATACACTTCATTTTCTACATGTCTGCCTATGGAGGTAATAAGTCACAAATCCAACATCAGCTTTGCACAAAATCAATGCAATGAAATGCAACCCAAGCAGTGTCTGGAATTAATCTAACACATACAGGTTGTAAAGAAAACAGAAAAAAACATCCGTTTCCTTGGGAAATAACTAAAACAGGACAGGTTACTTGATTTCAAAAGTTACGTTTTGCTAATATTCATCTTGTTTCCAAGATTTTCAAACATGCACTATGTTCTAAGTTAGCTTAATCTAAAGTAGCAAGTTTAAATAACAGTTACAGTTAATTTGAGCACAGGCAGTATGGCAATATCCTGATAAAATTCTACAAAATCCATTTTTAACAAGAGGTGGGTACCTTACCCAAACTTTTTAATACATTGGCAAACTTGCACACTTCTTTCAAAAGACTGGTGTAGGTAATCTTTCCATCATCTCCGGGGTCATTGCCTTCCCTGTAAGCAAATAGAGAAAAGAAATAAAAGCTTATCAAATCAATGCAAATACAGAGCCATGAGCTCCCCCACCCAACACTGCCATCTACATACAATTCATATTGCTTTCCCCTATCATGTTCTCCATTTAATACATGAAATCTGTCATTTTTGCATATTTAGGGTATACCTCTATTGTGACTGATATGGACTGATATTGCAAAATGAACTGACTTTCACCAGGCAAGCAGAGAGAGCACAAGTAACAGCTACTGCAAAGTTTATTCTTTGTGTAGGACCATTATTCAATATTTTTCATACTAGATTTTTTTAAAGCTCAGAAAACATGTAGTTAAATTGCACCTCTCTTCACATCAAATTAAAATGGAAAAGAATTAGTTTTGGGCAATTAAAATTACTCTTGAACTGAAGTGCTATGGATAACAGTGACATCAAATTTAACAAGAAAAATGGTGGGATAAGGTAAATATGGAATGGCTCTTGTAAAGAAAATCTAAAAATCTTGTAAAGAAAATCCAAGAAAACATGCTGCACCAGAACAGACATACTAATTTGCTGGCATGAAGTTTTATAACTGATTTGACCTGTTCTTAATTTTACTTAAGTTTTAGCATTTGGCTAAATTGGTGAGTGTTAGCGCTACCCCAGATTATTTCTCTGCCCATGAACTAGCTATGTACCAGCAAGTTTTTGCATAACAATTATGTTATCACAAAGCTGGTCTCTGGTAGAGAATGCAAACTGATCAAAATACTCACATCGAAATATTCACTTGAAAGATAACAGGCCCGTAACCAGCAATTTCAGAGGGGGGGGGTCGTTTTCTGAAAAAGGGGACCTTTTACCATAAAATCCTCAATTACATAGGTCAAATTTTACCCAAAGTGGACCTTTTCCCAAGAAAAAGGGTGGTTCTTTCGAATCCCCCCAAACCCCCCCTGGCTAAGGGCCTGGATAATATACCTGTTTTCACTCAGTTTTGGCTGAGCTAATGGGAAACCAGTATGGTGCTACTGCCTCTCACTTTAGGGATGTGTGAATGCTCTTTGATTGCACCCAAAGCACTGTTGAAAAGTTTACACAATGACATAGGCACCAATATTTTGCTGACAATGTCTTGCCGTTTTAGTTTTCTGTTGTTTAAGGGGGAGACATCAGTGCACATATTCTAAACTAATATTAGGCAAACAAACACAAGGTGAAGGAATCCTGTACACCAACCTGAAATTTTTCTTTGAGTTCTAAACACTAGAAACTTGGCAATTTCAATCAATAGTCCACAAAAGAATAAAGAAAAATGCAGTGCATACTCAATTTTGTATTTGAACAGCTGGGTTCAAAGGGATGTTTCTCTACAAGTGACCAATAGCTAAAAACACTGCTGCATGGCCAGCCAAATATTTCTTTTAAAAATACATAGAAAAACTGAAGAGGAATTGCTTCTTCATATTATCCCCTACATACAAAATGCTTTTGAGACATGCCATTCAATATGATGTTGTTTTAAATAATGCATTATTCTAATGGTGACTGTGAGCAATATTTTATTATGCACCACACAGTATTTTTTTAGACATCTGTGGGCATGATATAAAAGGATTGAAAAGAACATCTAAGTCATAAATGTGATTTGTTATCCAAAAGTCAGTGATACAAAAGAAGAGGCTCATATCTCTCACTGCTTTTCAAAGATTAAAAATCCATACTTTACTACTACTGTTTACAAATATTTCTAAGGGCATGTTATCACAAATTTTAACTAGTTATTTACTGAAAATGCCTGCAACTGTTTTATTAACTTTTTTGTTCATTTGTTCTGCAAAGCATGATAAATACAGACCATTATACACTTATAAAATGCCTGCATGTGTACATATGGTTAAATAAAGCATATATCTGGCAATATTTCACCAATTATAACAATGGCTTTCTCATGACAATTATTCCATCTGATTGCATGGTAAACATTAACATTTGAATTAATGTGGAGTAATACTCTCCATTTTATCATTTAGATATTTTATCTGACTGAGCCATTATATCTATGTATTTATCCAACTTTTCATGGGTGCCATATTATTTACTACTAATAAAAGTATATAAATTTTATTTAATACTTTTGTGTTGAAGTGTCATATCCTGACAAAAATAAATAAATAAAATCTATCTAAAAACGACGCTTCCAATGCCAGTTACCCTCCTGAGGTGGCAGTAACTGTCATAATCATTGACTGCAAACATTGTCATGTTTCACGAATAAGAATGACAATAGAAAATGGGTCAATGGGTGTCAAGCCCACTCGCTTCCACCACTAGAACTACCGAGTAACGTATGTAGCAATGTGTAAACGTGTGAAAGTGGAGAAATGCAAACATATACTACATACCAGTAAAATGCAACAGTATCCCCTAAACCGTTGCTGATATGCCTGTCAAGCATATTGTAACACATATTTGTAACAGCGCCTTCCATCCACTTGATGAAAATCGGGCCTTTACGTACATCGAAATTGTAGTCGAGGAACTTTCCTTTTGGCAGTGACTTCCAATAGAATTCTTTCGCAATCTTGCCCCAGAATGCTTCTGGGTCTTCTACAGACTGCTTGTACATCTCTCTGTATTGCTCCATGCTGGAGACGTGTGCTCCATCTTGGATATGTTTCAATGGAGAAAACACCATGTCCAGCTCGCCGGCTCCATTCTCTGCCGCCATTTTGAACAACAATGATGTTGTGGATACGCTGCTAGAGACATCTGCCGGGAATTCCCCTGAAAACCACACCGAGGTTCTGTGACTCACGTCGTAAGCTAAGTGGACTACATTACATTCAGTAATACAAAGTTCCAGAAGTTTAATCAAAGGTGATGCATGCGAGTTATTTCATTATATGTTATTTAAAGCAGTTTTACATAATATTTTGTCAAAGAAAGTTGCGACAAAACCAATAATATGAAATAATATTGCATGTAGGCCTACTGTACTCCGAAGCTCACAGTAGGGCGCGAATACATTTGAATGCGTGCGTGGGGTATGTAGAGGTAGAAAACTGGACGTCGGAGACCGACCCTCTGTATCTTTCTGTGTTTTTTCTTTTAATTAATTTTTTAAACACTGGCCTTCTTTATTGTAATGGAGAAAGAGTATCTTCAATGAAGGCAACCCCTTTCCTATATAGGTCATTGAATAAAATCCTAAACGCACTCTTTATGAAACATTCAACAAACCTCAACTATAAATCTTTTATTAAACATAAATACTCGCACAAACAGCTTATTCGCTTTCCATATCAAGATCAAATCTGGCCAAAAAAAAGGCTCCCATTTGTTTACAACTCGATTTATTTTCCATTTATAGTCAATGGCCCACCGAAGAAAACCGAGTCGTTGATTTGTTGATCACTTGGGGCCGCGTTATTTTGAGTAGGCCTATTGGGTTGTAATTTATCTTAAATGGTGCTCTCAGGACTGAATAGCTTCACTTAACATTATTCGATGTAAGTGAAAAAGGAGAAACCTGCTTTTCCATTTTTAGTAGACAAAATACGGAGTAGGAAGTAATACAGATAGGAGGTTCTGGTATAGATACATGTAAGCAAATGCAAACATTATTTTTTCATTTAAATTTGAAATATACAGTGCCCGAGTTGTATGGTGTTGTGTGATATGGTGTTGTATTATGGGCACACTGTTGTCAGGGGTGCGGCGGTAATACCCATACATGGAGTATATGATTCTATTATTACGTTTGCTTATAGAGGGAACTTTTCTTTGGCAAATAACAATGACCGTAGACTCCCTCTCCCCCCCTCCTACATTTCCCCAGTCTCCTCAAGCGCTTCAACCTCTGAGGGGATTTTTCGTCGAGACTTCTCTAAAACATTTCTTCAAAATTCTTCGTGAATGACGAAATAGATGATAGACCCATTTCCATCTTGCAATAAACATACCAATCAGTAATTCCTCTACGGTNCCCCCCCCCCCCCCCCTCCTACATTTCCCCAGTCTCCTCAAGCGCTTCAACCTCTGAGGAGATTTTTCGTCGAGACTTCTCTAAAACATTTCTTCAAAATTCTTCGTGAATGACAGAATAGATGATAGACCCATTTCCATCTTGCAATAAACATACCAATCAGTAATTCCTCTACGGTGATTAATGCCAAGTACATAAAGTGACGTTGCGGAACGCCGACTGCAGAACACGGTCGTAGATACACTTTTGATAATAGTCGCGTTTCCGGCGTGTGTCTGCTCAGATTGCAGTGCTTGATTGGAAGAGGTCTTAATATAGAAAGGTGTAGGTGTTTTATTCTTTAAAATAGAAGTAACTGTTTAAGCCCTGATTGATGCGTGCATGAGAACAGGGGATATAAATGGACATCAGATAAACTACAGTGGAGTATTACCTGAAACTCCGAAGTGGAAAGCATAACGGCTGGATATGTGCTAAGATATTCTTTTAGAAAAAACAGGTATGTATTGTGGTATCTGGATTTAATATTTTGATCAATTATATTTTACATTTTATATACGCAGAGGGGTGTTGAAAGAGTAAATGGCTGACAGTAAATGATATATAGCTAGATAATACTGTAGATAATAATGTAGATAATATTCTGTCCGACGTTCCATGCCAAAACATTTGCAAGCAATCTCCTGAACATTTCGGATATCTTTTTAAATTAAACACGGGTACAGACGTGGTTGAGATATTGCTGTTCAGGGATAAATTTTTCAAAGCATATTTGGTACTAAATTGATGCTGAATGACAACCATTTCATGATATATACAGTCTTAGATGTATTCAAACTTCATTAAAGTATGTAAAAGTAGAATTTTGAGGACGCTCACAAAGCTTTTAATATCAAAAGATCGCAATTCATTTTGAACAAGGATCTTGAAAACGTACTGGGATGCGTTTTCTTAATCACTGGAAATACTAAAATGAACACTGAATACCAGGTGAAAAGTTTCGAAAACGTGAGCAAATGGTCTTAACATTCCATGGACTATTTCGCGCCAATGATTTTCCCCCATGTGTATAATTTTTTTTCGAGAAAAGAACCCAACTATGTGAGGAACATCTCGGAACATGTACCCTATTTCATTGTAAAAGTTTCGTTCTCACAATCATAAATACTTCAAGAAACATTTATGCTTCCCCGCTGTTCGTTTCCACTGCACTTGGAATGGTGCAAAACAGTACACGTAAAACATTGATTTGAAATGTTTCTGTAAAATGCGAAGATTTACTTTGTTCATTTACCAGCCATACTGCGAACGACTGGTGAAGTACTGCATATGAAGAAAAATATTTTTTCACCCTTATCAAACCCTTAGAAAAGGTAGCGTCGAATGGATTGGGCTGGGAAAAGGGCGACTATTAACGAGTCATTTTCGCTGTAATAAGGTACCCCGCCTTTGAAATTGCTGGCTACAGGTCTGCTTACATACGTGTAAACTTAATAAATGTTTTTATAATAAGTCTAAGCCTCAGTCCTTTTTCTCGTCATGATATAACTGTTTTGGTAAATGAGATATGGAAGACACGTGGTAAAATTAATTGAAAAAGTTACAGAGATATCATGAAAAAGAAGCCATTAGCACTAGGCGTTGCGACACTTTGCCTTACTTATTGCCATGTGCGTTTGTTAAGGTATGGAGATCGATTGTTTAGTTGTTTATGTAAACGGAATAAAACCAATTTTGTTATTTATCGCCATTTTATGGCTTCATGTACCATGAAAAAAAGTCTTGAAACGCGTTTGGATATAATTTACTGAAGAATGAATAGGGCAGAATTGAGATTGGGCCTAAGTGGAATAGTGTAATTTAAATATTTAAATATTCTTCACTACTTCTTATCAATAATTCGCATTCTATGTATTTAATAAGTATAATCCATATATATTGGTGCTGGACAGTGGAATCCTGATAAAAAGGGGAGAAGGGAGGGTCCTTCCTTGAATTCATTGATAACTACAACTGATGTGAATACTATTTGTCTTTTTAGCGCAATGTTGTTATAAGACGTGATATTGCTGTGAGGGCCAATCGCCCTTTTCATTTTTAGTTTTAATTTACAATAATGTTTGTCTCATTGATACCTGAACTACTCGTCTATCCCTGCCCTTTCATTCATAAAACTGTCTTTGCATCTCAGAAAACGGCCCGTTGTTTGAGTTACCGTTTCACTCTAAGTGCGGCTATTTAATCTACCCTCGCTTTGATAACGGAATATTTAGGTATATCTATTTACTTCGCAATGGGTTTTGTCCTAGTATATGGGTTAAAAGGCTAAAACAATATCACGGAACAAAAAGAACAAAAACAAGGTTTCAGGGCAAACCCCATATCAGCTGTCATTAAACAGTGAAACACTGTATTCTAGGACAAAAAGATTTGATGTAACTTCCGCTTCTTTCGGTCTTCGTTTGTACAAATTCTTACACGGGACAAAGTTTTGATAAATCAAGGCCTCTTCAGCCAAGGCAGGTCAGGCGAAGAACCGTACCACTTAAAAAGTAGGTTTGCTACTAGTACTTGAGGAATCAAACTTTTTGCGTTCTTGTTGGGGTTCTGAAGTTGAAAAATGTGCTTCATATATTATTTTGCTATATTTTTCCCATTAATTATACTTGAGCCGAGCTAAGAAAGATTAAGAACGTTTCGATTTAAGCGAAAGCATTTCGAAAAACTATTTTCTGGCTGTTAGGTGAACGAGTGTATACTTTTGTGGTGTGCCAGTAATTGAAAGAAAAGTTTATGCAGTGTAGAAAACATTCAAACTTCATAAAATATGCCCCATTGTTCTTTCCTTATCAAAAACGATAAAAGCCGAACGTGGGACATGTGAAATTTATGGAACACGTATAAAAGTTCCAAATGGGCTATCTTGTATGTAAGTAATATTAAAAAGAGAGAAAACAGTTCCATTTTTTAAATAGAAATCATCGAGGAGAGAAAAAGATTAGGAAACAATGGATGGAAAAGTATATTCAGGTATACTGTATTTATTTTGTAACAGTATTTTGTAGCAACCATTTTGTCATTAAACCGAAACACCTTTTTAATTACTTGCTTTCTAAAATTTCCTTTGTATAGTACTAACTTTTGAGTTTTTTTTTTCTTTTTCGGTCTATCCGGTCAATTGCAGGAAAAATTGATATAAGTTTATCTATCAAATTGTGTGTTTCATTCTATGAACCGTTTTAATCAATTGGCTTGGAGTCTGGACGTGATTAGCACGGTGTTTTCTTCTCACGAACTCATTTGCTATGCATTATACGAACAATAAGTCACATAATTGATTGCCAATCCATAAACGCTGTTCGCACATCCTTTCCGACGCCTCGTTTTCTTTGAAATTTCCTCGCCTGAATAGAACTCATTAAAAAACTGTTTAAGTTTCAGTAACCTTTGTAATTGATTTGGCTGTTACGAGGTCCTCCTAAAACAAAAGCGAGCCAACTTTCTCGACTTCGGCGTTCAGCATTAACTTACCATCCAAAATTGGTTCCTGGCGCTCCCATCTGTCCTGGGTTGTCTCGGACACGTTATAATTACATGGAATATGCTTTTGTGGGATATTTGACGCACTAAAACTCCGTCTTAAGTATGGGTGGGCACAGGTTCAAAAAGAAACCCCAGACAATTGTATTTGGGTGATTTGTGTGAAATTAATGTCATAACGAAGCCGCGTAAACTTGAGGCACGTGGCAATAATTGCAGAATGAGATGCGTCTGTGTGCATTATAACACAGTAACTATTTGGGCAATTTGTTCCGCGTGCGCATTATAGGGGTTTGGCCTCTTTCGTTGCCAAGCTTGTAACTATAATATCCTGCCAAAATAATTTCCACATATGTCTAATGTAAGGAACGTTTGTCCAGACGACTAAAAGGATTTTCAGAATGTTTCATGTCTTTTCAGAGCTCCTCTTGTCTACCACTCATCTTAACAGAATGCAGAAATTATGGATCGCACTGATTTTCTGGGCGTTTGCGTTAATCAAGGCGAGATCGGTAAGGGGACTTTATGTAAAACATTGTGATGTTTTAATGAAAATTTAACTACAAAGTCAAAAGAGGATTTATATGTTAAAAACCATTATTAATGGTTTATCAAAGGTGAACATGTCCTTTTGTAAATCAAACTTTCCAGCGTTTGACTTTAAATTTAAATTTATGCATCTAGATAGATTGGTGAAATTATTATTTTCTATGAGTTCTATTCAGCCGTTAATTATGTTGTGTTATAAGCGAACGCGGTGTTTTGATGTAATATTATCATTTTTACTTGTACAAATGGCTTTATCCTTTTTTGATTTTTTTTATTTTTTTCTTTACGTAAAACGTAATGCTTTTAAATAGCAGTAGCTTCGTTGTGTATTTGATTAATGTCCGCTCGAGTGTTTTTTGTACAAAAAAAAGTTTTTGATTTACTGCTGCTTTTTTGTTCTACTGATCATTAATTGCAACATAAATATCATTTATGGTCACTGCAGTTGCTCGTAAAATCAAAAGAGAAACAAGATGTGTAATTTATTGTAAATTTGTCGTCAACAAAACCTCGTTAGGTAAATTGTTTGTCCCTGTTTACGTTTTAGATAAAATCTGAATGTAAAAGAATGATAGAAATGGTGTTTACCCTTTGTGTACAACGTTTGAAGAACTTAATATTAGAATGAGAATCGCATGATTAAAGTAAGTTAAAGTGTGCTCATCTCCATGTAAACAAACCCCGCTCGTATAGACGATATTTATATCAGGTAACGTCCAACGGATCTCTTTGGATCACCTGCAGGCCGGCAGTTATGATAAGCTATAAAAAAGATTTTTTTGTGTGTTGCCGGTAAAGATTAGATAACTAACAGAAGAAATACGACGCAAAGGAAAATGTTTTTAGTTGACCATCAAGGTATTTTTGAATCAAAAATTTAAAGTGGATATTAATCATATTTGTTTTTACTATTTTCTTTATTTCCATCAGATTCCCAGCTATACTTTTAAATCGAATGGGAGGTTATACAGAGCTCCTGTGTATGACCGAGACACGTACTCCATGTCTGTCACTCCCGAGACTCCGGACAGCGACAGAGTCATTATTATACATGACTATACAACCGTGAGTACCACTTTCTAGTAACGATGAATCACAAATTAATGGACTATATTAGAGTAAGATTGTTTCAGAAGCTCGTCCCATTCTTTCTGACACGATACTTTTCAAGGTTCATTATAAATAAAGCACTTGAGCATTATCAGAAAAGTGCAGCGCGAGAAGTTCCTTTCCTCATTTTATCAATAATGATACTGCCTGAACTCTCAAAAACAAAAGTTTCTTTAGAAAGATTTGCCAAATTGACTAGTTTTCTTTTCTTTCTTTCTTTCTTTTTTTCTTTTTTTCTTTTTTTTAATTTTTATTCATTTCATCTATTTCATTTTTAGCACACGCCATTAATTAATATGGGTATTTTTAATCCTGTCCGTTTTCCAGTTTTCCTAGAAAGGCCACTACATTATGATGGATATTTGACTTCAATTTTCAGAATATAACTGTTTACAAAGACATCAGTGCGACCACTTGTCTCATCTCTCCTTTCTACCCAGAGGTGCTCGAAAAAGATGTGCTTCTACTCAAAATGCGGAGAGGCCGCAATGTAAGTAAATATTTAACAACAGAATATGTAGACAAAATGATACTATACCGTATAGATCTTTAAAGAAATACCTAGTAGCATTGTAGTTGTATACAAAAAATTGATCTTATAATTTCCAACTTTCTATTCAAGAAATTTAGAGCTTCAGTTGTATGAAAACAAGTATAGAAAATGTTCACTTCGTTCCCGACGAAAGTTTTGTTGAACAACATTGAAGATAAACGATTCAAGAAGTTTTATAACAGTCTAACTCATAAACACACAAAGTAAGAGCTTGATAAAATACACGGTAGCTGAATACAAAGTCAAGAAAGACTACATACATGTATAACTGGTAAAAGAATAGAAATTTCATTCAAAAACTGGTAAGAATATTAGACGAATCAACGAGCTTTTATAAATAAAAAAACTTTTTCTACAAGTCATTATCAGGTCTTGGCAGAAATAAATTTCTAAGATGAGAAAACAGGTGATACAATGTGCAGTTTAGGTTTTCTGAATTACGTTGTAACTACAATTATTTGTGTTTTTTTCTAGGGCGTGCGGGAAAGTGGGGCAATATTCTTAGTCGCGGAAATGAAGTTAACGAAAGAAGAAACACAAGCGTTTGGAATTGGCGCTCGTTTGTGCCTTAGTTATCCTGCGTTCCTTGTGCGACGCTCATCACAGTCACCGCGTCATACTAAGAGCACGACTGACAAAGATTCTGTCCCATCAATTGGCCGTGTCTACGTGGATATTCGGTTTGCCAGATGACAACTTTTATAGGATAAATCGGACAATGGCAGTGAGACTAAAGAACGCATTCGGCAATCAAAAATAATGACGTTATTTAAAATCGATCAGTGGAAGACGATCAGACAGTCCCGGCAATCAGTAGCATTGCCATGGCCTGTATTTCAATTGTATAAAGATCTCTTGGTCACTTGTATATTCAGAACGTCTGTGATAAATATGAATTATGTACATGTGTGAAGGAAGTCGAATGTTTTGGGATGAAATGCAATTATTATGGGAGCCAGATCTTGGATAGCAGCGAGGGGTAGCACTGTCGTAAGCTATACACTAGTCTGCTGTAGTTGTGCGTGGTTTGGAGTGGACGACTGATATAGGGCCTACCGCACACGAGAGCCACGAGCTGGGCAAATGACTTCTTTGCGTACGTGTATGTTGAAGCGTAGGGTTTTTTTTTTCATGTCAGATACCGATGTTAAAACCTGTATTGTGCTTCAAGTTGATGCACGGGCTGATAGACTTGTGTCGAAGGCACAAATGAAAAATATCTTATGCCGGATATAACGAAAATGATTTGATGAAATAATGGAGGAAGATATCTGGTACTTACACTCATTATTTAATAATCTACGGATAAGATTAAAGATTTAACCTATAAATATCTAGTAAACATATTCTTTGACTTGTAAATACAAATTATACTTCATTTATTTGAATGATGGCCTGTAAGTGACTGTCCAATTATATTAAACAACAAAATAACATTGTCGACAACTAGACCTTCCTTATTTTATCAATAAAAAGTTATTTATCTGTCAATTAAACTTTTCTTTAGTTTAAGAGAATTGAAATTACCTTTACTATTATACATTGTAACACTCAGACTGATTAAACTCGAGCATTACGTATTTTATTTACTAATTGTGTTTTACTTATTCGTTTCTATTACTTTATTTCATGTTTGCATTAATTTACCTTTTAATTTTCTTTATTTATTTTTTGATTTATATTTCTATTGTTTAGTTTCCTGGTAAGAGAAACGCGTTTTGTGTCATGGCTTGCAAGAGATCAATCAAAATTATTGCTTTTTGCATGGATGTAGAATGTTGGAATGCATATCTCGGGTGGAAAATTATAAACGAACCAATCTTCAATATCAGTTTAAAGACATTTTTCCATAAAGTCAATGGAATTTTCATCTAATACTACATGTTATTGCTTCTGGTTCTGGTTTTAACAAAATGCCTTTGTAACTTTCCTGTTCTAGTTATTTCAAAAAAGTTAAGGAATGTTTCGTTCTTACAATTTCCGGCATGTACAAAAAGGTAACTCTTCTGATCTGCAGTGTTTCAATAAAGCGCCTTCTCACAGTCCACGACACTATAAATTTTCCAAAAGGTAAAAAACATTAAAGTTGTCTGTGGGAAGCACAGGCTCATAAATAAAATGCTGTTCATTCAGAATCTGTCAGAAATTTTATTACACTTTTTAGGGGAGGTGCGGATTTTTTTAACGTTCATAATACTTAGAAACTTAGTACCTGTAGCTGTAATGTCCGCAGAGAAAGATTTAGATGCCGTCTTTCGCGTGCACTGATTTTATACTGTATGGCTATGAGGAAGTATCGCTGGAGCTTAGAAGTGTGGTACCCTATACCAAGGTGGCAAATTTCAAAAAGCCAGAGAATCAAACGGCAGAAAATCAAATGACTGTTTATTATCTACAGACGTATCTGTGAATATCTTGTGAAAAATCAATCTGTCGCCCTGGTAGAGGAAAGAAGTGTGGTACTGTAGAATAATGCCAAGCTGATGGTTGGGGGGGGGGGGGGGGGGGTGTTGTGGCCGTTTTAGTAGATAATGTTAAACCTTATTGAAAATGCCATAAAGGCTTAGATTTTCCGAGTAATATATAAAACACCAGCACCTAGAAGCCGAAATTGGCGCTTGTTTAAAGATAAAGCACCAGGAAAAAGTTGTAAATTGTCCTTTGTAGCCTACTCATTCCTCTTTTAAAAACATTGCTCTTTATGTGAATTTGTTTATTGTCAACAGATGTGCTTGTTCACGCCCTCTAAGAAAAGACGTCAGAAAAGACATTATGTGTTACTCAAAAGCTGACCTCAATTATTCATAGCATATTTGAATAATTTAATTGAATAACTGAAAAGGGTAGCCGTAATCTGCAGCTTATACATGTATTATACATGGCCTTGCATATGACAGTCAGTATACCGTGCCTCTACAGCTAAGTTTATTACTGTGTATCATGTAGTTGATGAAATTTCAGGTAACTGCCTGTTGTGCGTTCTTTCATTGCCCTTCAGTATATTTTAATTAGTAATTGGGAAACAGCTTCTATAAAAATTTTATTGCGACAATAGTGACACACCACACTAAATGCTTCACTAAGAGCCCCACACAATGTTTCTTCTCAACTGCCGCAATGAGTACATTTGTTGCATTTCATGAACACCAACTTTACTGAAAAAGCATTTTACTGATATACTACTTGCTTACCAAGAAAACCAAGTTATAAATGGTTTTTGCATGTATTTGCTGCTAAAAAACAACCTAAATACAGCAATACCATAGTTCAGTGCAATGGTTTTCGTTTCCAGTTTCAATATATTTACATGATACTTTTTTCAACTGTTACATTGTGCCACGCGTGGGTTTTATGAAGTCCAAATTGATTAAACCCGTGTTCCGTAGAAGTCATCAAATAACACTTATTTTAGCACTAATGATAAGGATTATGTGGAATGAAAAATCTTACGCCCCTTACTTTTTCGATCAGCGGTTTCCGATTGCGATAGAATTCAAATAATAGGCCTACAGTAATTTCATCTAATTTAATCTAAATGATATCCTTAGATTAACGACACAGCACGCGATGGAAACAGGTGCAGTTACAATGATGTTTGGCAAGCAGACAAGCAGACAAGCAGACAGGGAGACAAAGGACTAAACGGACAGTTTTTTGCAGTTTTAACAAAAATTTCGATTGTCCTGTCTTACAATGCTGAAGTGGGGTTCACAAAAAGTTCATAGCTAATGTGTTTCCGTTCTTTGCTTTGCAGAAATTTATTTTGTAATATCTAAACTACGAAAGATGGAGGGTAGTGATAATGGCCGGTCGCACGCAGTTTGCGGCATGCATTAACCGAAGAAACAAACGGTAATGATATTATGAAAGAACAATTCTAAATAATCTTTATGCCACATTTTGCTGCAGCTGTTGAAAGACCATCTATATACTAGTAATAAACACACATCTCCCCAGTGCCCAACATTGAGCCCACCATTGCTGCCTACTGTGTTTTTTCTAAACTGCCAATTCACTTAATATTGACACCCGACCATGCCTCTTTGGAAAAATGCTGTGGTTTGGCCCTGTGGCCCAGTAACACTATACCCCAACCACTAGGTAGGCAGATTCTTTACTCGACATTTGATTAATGGAATCATAATTTGGGGCCCTAGTCTTGGATTTTTGCCTTCAGCTCAGAGTGCCATCTGGCTATTTGACTTCCAAAATGGCTTTATTCGTAATCTCTACCTGTTGATCACAAGTATCAGATATTCATCAATAGATAAAATTATGTTTGTCGAAATTCTGAAAACTAATCCATCATCACGATTTGACTTTCCTGAGGAAATAGAACAACAAGGCATTATACAGTGTCACGTTGGGAAGCCAGCCTACTCTCTCTCTCAAATTACAGAGCAAGGCAATTTCACAGAGTGCAAAACGATGTAACTCTAGGTCTTCAATGTCTTCATTACACGCAACGCCTAACATCGTGATGCAAGGAAAGTAAAACTTAGAAAGCTAATTTGAAAACTCTTTCGCAAGTCCCCTGCATTAATATACTGCCATGAACAATTTTGTGTAAGTGCGTTTGTTCTTAAGCACAGCGTTCTGAGATGTTGGATACCATAAAGGCCATTTCAAAAGTAATAGTTAATTTTTTCTCTCAGGACCCAAACTCTCGTTCTTGTTCATTTTATTTTTGGGCAATAGGAGTTCAGGAAAAGGAATTAAGCTTGGAAAATAAAAAAAATACATGGAGATTAACTAAACCATTAGATAAAATACATAAGATTTTTAATTTGATACACTCCTCACAAGAAGAGGGGTCAAGATAGCCAAATGTAATTGTAAACAAATAAAAGCTGTTTGATTGTTGTATATTTATATGTGACAATAATTGAATTTATGTTATTAATACAGAAGAGCACTGAAATGCGCTACAATTCGTTTCTAAGGATGTTACACCCCAAACACTGTTTTACTTCTATCTCTGGTCAGCTGCAGCAATGAGAGCATTCATAAATGATAAAACTTCATAAATGAAATGAAAATTAAGTCAATGAGCAACAAGTGGAACAGTGAACAAAGTGCACGAACCTTTTGTAAATGATATGACATATTAGTAATAGGTTGAAATCATGTGACATTTTAATTATATTTTCAGCTATATATTTTAAATGATGGTAAATTGATGCTTTTCTTTCAGTTAGAAAATGCTTTGCGTGATAGGAAAATGATGTAATAAGTGAAATATTTTACTGTAAGCTATGAAAAATTAGCCATTATTTTTACAAATGGTCCGTGTGTAACAATGCTCAAACCAGCTGCTCGCCCAGTGATAAAAATAAGCTAACATACATGTTATCATTGTTTTAAATTTGACTGTAACAGTTGTGAGCATAAAATGTCGTTAGAGTTGGATACCTTGTGCAAATCAAATTTTGCCCAGAAGATTTGAAGGGTGATAATCCCTCTCTAGGAGATTGATAAGTTGTATAGAAGTGGACGCAAAGAAGCCGACTTTGCTGTATGTCTTGGAATGATTCAAGAAACTTATTGTAAGATCAACAACGACATAACACAAAGCAAATGAACAGACATCAGGACTAGTGGTCCAGTAAGACTACTGCCAGGGAAGACCTTATATTCTTCCAAATCCGTCGTCTTTACAGGTTCTTGTCAGATTTGGTGGACTGATTATAAGAAAACACCAAAGTCTGGATTTCTAGATGCATAGTCAGCACCAGACTCCTAAGCTGTGAACAGGGAGGTGAAGGAGAGCTTTAACGAATCCCTAGTGGCCAAACAGAGGAAGGACCGCTGCTAAAAATGGACCCGTCAACTTCATCGCCGTCAACTGCATCACCGGGGTAAATCTGGCTTTCTGGTGAATCGAGATTCCTTTTTTTTGCGCGTGTCAAATTAGTGAGAGATTTAATGGTGAAGACTGAGTGGTGTAAAATAAATGCTCACGATGGTGGCGCAGCCCATGTTTAAGGCGCATTTATATCTAACGGAGCAGATATGGACGACACACTTTATAGCTTGCCGTATAATCCCCTAATAGGCACTGAATAGATTCCTGGCGGGGATTACACGTAAAGCTTTCAAGTGGATCGTCCATATTTGATCGGCGGATCTGTTAGTCCGCAGATGAACTTAAATTGTGAATGCACATACATGTATGCAATATTTTTTTGGAATGTTACATCTTTTTTAGCAAGAATGCTTATTAAAAGAAATCCTTTTTACGCATTTTCTGCTACATTATTCGCAAGATTTAATTATTTCCCTCACATTAACTCCCCTGATTTCATTTGAACACGCTCGTTAAGGTTAATATTCTGGAAACCATGGATTTCCTGACGAGACATGTAATTTGCTTAAATTTCTCGCAGCTCACGGATAATACGCGCAGTGTCACGGTAAAATGTATGGTAAGGCGTAATGTATGGTTTCCTTCTTGTTTCCTACATGTATTTGTTTGGACACGGCCTTTGTGGAACTGATACAATCCGAATACAAAAACCATACAGGAGCCAACACAAGAGTGTAAAACGATAGCATGTTAAAGGTGTAGTTCTGCATATACATTTAAGTCAAAAAAGCTTTTGATGTATGAAGTTATTGAAAAACTATAGAGTTGCTATTGTCATATTCTTTTTTGCTTGCCAAAGATTAATGTGGAAACCATCTCTGCAGGCAACCACTCAACAAAGATGACAGGAAAACCATGCATTTGGTACTACTTTGGTTACCGTATTTTTTTAAAAGATTTAAAGTATACAAGACTTCCTTTGGTGTCTGTTTTGTCGGTTTGAAGCAATGGAATCCATTGTTACATTAATGTCAGGTAAAGATTGATGGTATTTGTTCAGGTCGCTTAGCTTAAAACCACTTATTACCTTCTACATTACTTTGTCTCTAATTGGTTAGTTTGTCTCGCGTGCAATATTTGTCACCTTGATGACGCAGGTGTTCATTATCGAGTGTCCTTGCTTGCTTATTGAAAAAAAAACCCCGACGAATAGACATATATATAAAAATAATATAAAAAGGAAACATAAAAATGCATTTATAATGTAAACTGGCAATATTTCTTCCTGTGCCTATTAATAACGTGTAACAGTGAATCATAATACAGGGCGCGTAATATGATAACATGGGCTAACCTTTTGGTGACCTAAAGAAAAACAGAATATTCACAAAAGAAGACGAGTTGATCCTGATATATAATTTTTCATTCTCTTGGTTTCTTGTTTTACATACAATGGGATTGTCCACAAAACAGCACAATCCAAATATCCGAAGCTAGTCTCACATTAACGGTGACAGGAAAACGGATACCATTTTTTATAGTACAGCTTTGTTTTTGCAACCGTTTGACTATTCATTGATTCTAAACATTATTATGTCTAGAAATTTCAGTAATATAATAACTAGTATTCATATGATATGGAATAAAGAGTGTCTTTTAAATAAAATGCAATATACATGTAACATTTAAAAATACATGTGTTTGGAGTGTAAACATGACAGTTCTGATAGTGTCACTTACTCCTTCCCAGATCACTGTTTGCTTACGTACTAGCAATTAAAAGATGGAAAACTAGGCTCTATTCCCATAGAATTTAGATCGATCTATCCCCGCGGGGAGTCTCACTAGATTACTTTCAGATAATCCGACTTAAATATCCGTCCCGCCTGCTACAAGCTGTAAGGGGGTAATTAACTTTCGTGTCCGCCCGGCTGACAGCTATTTAGCGTGAACCCCCAGGGAGTTAGGTCGATCTAAAGTAGGTCGATCTAATCTATGGAAATGGGGTGTTAGACACAAGCGGGTGGTTAACAGTATTAATCATGAAAAGCTATGTAAGATGTTTTTTAGATACATGTGTAAAGGTCAAAATAAATTACAGCAACAAAAAAAAAATAATAATAAAATAAAGGTGAAATTGCAAAGACATTGTGGTTAAGGTAAACAAGTATAACTAAACACTAATTCTTCTTATAGAAAAGAAGTTAGGCCACGTATGTAGTGAAAAATATACATGGGGTACCGTAGATAAACGCCCTCGTTTTTGTATTATGTATAAATTCTTGTTTCCTTGCAGCTTGCCCATTCGAGAACATACCACAGTGTGAGAACATACCACATTGGCAATCTGCACACATGGCTGTGCTTTATTCGTTTATAAACGTCTTATTTGTAAACAAAATAGAAAGTTTTACTTGACCACATATATTGTAAAATCAAATGAGCGTGCCACAAAAAATCTCTCTCGTTGTCTTTCTCAAAGTGTACATTTAAGGACTTCTATTAGATACATAGTTGCAGTCATTCATACCAATCGACACACGAACAGAAACACATTGCCTGTGAAGAAATTATAAATGATCAAAAGAATGTTCAATTCTCAAAAGTGTAATAAATATTGGAAATAGTCTAAGTGGTTGTTTTATTCAATAGGACCGAAGTTTGAAATAAGGAAATACTAAAATGACAGACTGTGAAGATTATACGGCATTTTAATCTCGTTTGGTCTAAACCATAGCTGGGAGAAGCCCTTATTTTCTCTCCTGTAATTTCTGTAATACAGACATTATATGTGCGAATCAGTTGATTCTGAAGATAATTTGTTTATGTGTTGAGTTTTGATGACTTATTTTGGCTATATATATATATCCTTGTTGAAGCCCCTTAACTCCCATTTTACCTTTTAAACATCCAGATAAGTAACCGCTAATATGACTGTAACAACTTTATCAACAGGTCCACATTGTATATTACGTGTCTGTGAATTATTATTACCAGTTATCTTCAAGTCGTTTGGTCGTATCCTCATCACACTCAAGTAAGTAGGAAACTTTTTTCATGTTAAAAGTATATTTTATTCCGACGGAAATGCAAACTAATGATCAATTTTAATAATGGCATTCTCATTTACGTCATAGGAGAGTCACAAAACCTCATAAAAGAACAATTTTTCTAACTATTTAATAAGCACTCAATTATTCGTTTTGAAAACGACTGGCTAAGTACCTAGATAAGGGCTATAACTGGTATCGATATACAATACCACATAGAAGCAAGAAGCACTAACAGCATCTCACAGACTTCTATAAGTAACCACCACATTTTAAGAAAGGACCCATTCGCGCGCTGAACTAAAAGTTTCCAGAAAAACGGTGCAATGATGGAGAAGGAGAGCATTTGTGCCATGGTGTATGACACTAAATATCAAATATGCATCACTTGAGATATTTCTTCTTAACCTGTGGGAGTAAATCATGTCGAAAGATTCCTTTCATGTAAAAAATATTGATAATATATAGCATAAACAATTGTGTATTTATTCATAAATAAGTTTTTGGGACCAGACACCGAGGGTCACTTAATGAGGAAGCCTTTAATATACAGAATGGTACATTTCCATTGCACATAATGTCCAATTCATTGGAGAAAAATTTGCAGAATCATTTCAACTTGTCTGATTTTTCCAAAAACAATCGGTGCTATTTAAAGACATGATTTTCCAAGTAACACATTGCACCAGCAGATAGCGAGAAGGCGTTGCCAAAACAAGTTGCATTATAGAGATAATGAGGTCCCTAATGGATGCCACAAATGTACTGACCCCCATCGATCAGTATATATGTCTATGACATGCAGATCCAATGATGAGCGTCAGATAAATCAATATCAAAGGAAGCTCAGCCTGTATAAACCTCGGTGAAATGCAGTTGGTGAATTATTGACTTTCCCTATATGAGTTCTTAGGGTGACAATTTAATCATGCAGTCCTCCCATTTTGCGCTGCATGTCCGAATCATTTCTGTTAAAATTGATACATTTATAGTATCGATGACATCAAGAAGACAGACTATCATAATTAGTAAGGGAGGGGTTCCCTTAATTCATGTCATTATCAAGTATATAGCTTTTCTAGCTGGGTATAAAATAAGTAGGTTTCTGCGAGGGAGAAGGAACTGACTAGTGCTGAAGCAGTTTAGTGATTTTCATGTTCACTCTTTACAAGTGAATAATTCTGACGCGCTGAAAGTCACATTTCGTGATATGTGGAAACTCCACGCTAAACACGCTTTGTGGTGAATTAATGGTAGCCTGCTACCTACATTCATATTTAATTGACAACTAACACCATTCAGACGTTCCTGGCGCTGTTTCGTGGTTTGGGCTATTTAAATGGAACAATTACCTGTGTTGTGAACACTCAGCACTACCGCTTCCTCTCGACGATATTGATGCTTTTGCCAGCTTACTGAAAATCCCAAACTGCGTTATTTAAATTTCTGTGCCACAACTTTGAAGAAACACAGTAGACACTGGAGTAAGAGACATCTTGGTAAGTAAAAATGTCTGCCTTTGAGAAATTTGTGAATTCGCGGCGACCGACAAAAAGAATTCTATATTATTCTTATAACGCTTTTTAACATCCGATAACAAACCAATCACTTTCTTTAAATATTCAAAATTTGTGGTCAACTCTATCTTGTTTAAAATAGTCTCAATAAACTCTCAAAACGCATTCTGTGATATACACCAAAAAAAGAACTTTACCAAGGGATACATTTAGTAATTAGTAATTGCTACATGTAAAAACAAGTAGTTGATTCTAAACAATTATTTCCAGATACTATGAAGACATCACAATTTCTCCTCGTTGCCGTCATTTCTCTGGAAGTCATTTTGTTTGGTTTGTGCCGAACAATCCCTAAAAGTCCAGACAACAAGAAAAAAACAGCATATGCAGTTGAATCACCACTCCTTCCAAGCGCTCCAGAGAAACGTTCCGGCACTGACGTAATGGCAGAAGACGATATAATAAATGAGGCGTGTGAGGGGTTGTGCTACGAGTGCTATCTCTATGACATCTTAGATATCTCCCACTGCGCAGAAGTGTGCAGGAAAATGACCGCTAATTCTCCAAAGGGCTTTGACAAATTTGCAAGTGACGTTATATATTTTTGCAAACCCCGGGACAACAAATGAGATGTCATAACTGAAAAATGTTCTCTACACATAGTATAAATGAAACAGCTAGATTTAAAAGAAGAGAGGATAGGGAAGCGGGGATCAGCGTAGAATAAAAAGGCCATGTGCTTGAAGAATTTCAACAGGGTGAACAGTAAAATGTTATCTTAAGCCTTTAGTTAAATAAGGATTAATTAAATCACCGTTACGTTAAATGCCGGTGTCCAAAAAGAACTCAATGAAGTGAATAAAATTTTTGAACAATCCAACATCTGAAAGATTATGTGTAGTTGAATGGTGTTATGATTTGTAAACCTTAGGTCTGCTAAGTTTCGAAACGATCTCGTTAATGGAACAATTAAAGCAGAGCAATTTGATGTTCGTCTGTAACATTGCGTATATCTGTGTGTATATGGACCTTAAATCAAACTATGCTTCTCTTCGAGCTAGCAAACCACGAGCTCACGAGTTTGATCTCATAAACTCACGAGTTTAATGTAACAAGAGTTTTTAATCTAATTGTGATTTCCCAGACTGTGTTAATGCGCACGTACATCATCATATTCTTTCCAACTATGTAATGTTTCTTTTTTTGTGAAATTGGACCCACATCTTCTTAAAGTATATTTACTTTCTAAATTGTCATTACCGAAAACGTAAGAGCAGGCATGTAAAATTGTTAAGATTTTTTATTATTGAATTCATATATGTAATTTCACGGTAATGTCATCAATATTTATGTATATCCCTCTTCTTGGAATCATCAGATACTGTAGCTGAGCATGCCCCTTCCTCATTCTTTTAAGCAACATACAAAACATGTGGGAATTCTACGACCTTTAGATATTAATGATTTTAACAATCTCGCTATATTTAAAATATTGAAGTGCATTACTAGGGTCTAGGGTGCTGTTAATATCCACCATACAATTAACATCAGAAACAAGATACAAAACATAATTATATGGGAATACCAAGACTTTTACAGCAATTAACTTAAGGTTACTTTAACCCGCAAAATTAGACCTTGAAAACGTGCTCGGAATGACTTTTCCTAGTCACTACGATGAATGGGCACTTAGTGTTTCTTTTCCTTTAAAATATAAATAAAAAATACACGTTCGGAGTTTTGTAACTGTTTTCGGTTTAGAAAAATCGCAGGAAAAAACGAGCAGGTGTCATAGTCACAGAGGCAATGGAGAGCAGCTTTATTCCAGAAAACTCATTCGTAGTTCATCTATACAGTGTAAATCCTAAGTAATCCTTATGTATGAAATACACCTACCGGTGCATGTAGAACTTGTCTCTGTTTTTGGGCGGTAAGATGACGCATGTTTTTTTTTTTTTTTTTCAACTGACGAAGGAATGATTGCTAAATCAGCCGTTAAATCGAGCAAGACAACGGTTAAAATCAGGCGATATCTTAAATATTCGCTGAAAGGGCCACGCGACTGTACTGCCGTACTGTGGTTTTAAGCAACAGGTTTATCGTTGACTATGGACATCCTACAGATTACTCCACTGTTACATTTTGTATACATATAGTCCCACTGCTTTAAAAAACTGAAATACTGATTTTTGCTGTCTCGTTTAAAATATTTTAATGCCCTCTGATTGAATATTGACAAAGACTGACTTTACTGCTTATTTGCCTTTGACTCGCCCTATCAGTAAGTGGATTTTCACTGTACTTCGACGTATCAACCAACGTGAAAGCATCTTATAGCTTCATGAATCAAGTATCATTGTTGGTAGAAATATATATGATCAAATACTTGTAGCTAATACTACTGTATTCCATTGCGTTCCCGAAACAGTTTGGACGACATACTTGATGGAAAAAATTGCTAGACATACAGGGTTACTACTTAATATGGAATATTTTTTATCATTGTTATTTTTGAGTGCTGATTAAATATTTTTTGGCTTGATTCATCAAAAAAGTATGTCATTGAGTGATAAAAATATCCAGTCGCCTATTGTGAGATATTTTGGTCAATAATATCTAATCTGACATAAGATATGATTCAAAAGAAAAGAACACCCCCGGAAAACCATGTCAACAGTTTGATGTTAGTATTAATTTTAAGCTAAGATATTTAAAAAAAAAGATAGCCTCTGAACAGTGATATGTTACACACTCAAAGAACTCACTACAGGAAATCATGAAAAGTCAGTAATTGCGGGTATGACCTCCAGCAGCCGCTTGCAGCGCCCTCATCCTACGTGGCATACCCTGTGACACGTTTTTTAGAGTTTTGGTGGGGATATCATTCCACGCAGTGATATTTGCCTGTCGCAGTTCATCACCATTTACCGGCCGAAGACCATAGCCATTAATTATGTGAGTTACTTCCGCCCACAGATTTTCAATTGGGTTCATATCTGGAGAGTTTGCCGGCCAGTTTGCTGGCCTCATCACTGAAAACGACGTGATTCCAGTGGTTTGGCTGCAAACGCACGTGGTCCCCAGCCCATTGCATACGTCGCTGTATATGACCTGCTGTTAACAGTGGTTTCCCTACTGGCCTTCGTGCAAAATAACCGGATTGCAGTTATCTCTTGTTCACGAGGGACCTTGAAACGGGCGTTTGGATGACATTCTGCCTCTCTTTTCTGAGGACACTAGTTGTCTTTGTACGACCAGCACGGCGTCCTCTAAGGAGAAGGTGATCCTGTCTTCTTAGTGTGATACGCGGACACCCTGGTCGAGGTATTGGAGCAGGTGCCCCTGTTGCAGCATTTCTTTGGAGGACATCACAAACGGTTCCTGATAAATGTTGAATTACCTGGCAATGGCTGTCCGTTTCTGGCCATTTTCTCTGAGAGCAAGAATCCCATAGTAAGCTGAGTTGCTTA